ATATTATAATTTACTAAATATAAATATTTGTAAAAAATTATTAAAAGGCTTTAAAAAAAATCTGAAAGAATACCAAGTTCTTATATGAATTTATCCATGAATCAAAATTTTATATTGATATTTATTATATTATAACAAGTGAAAAATTAATAAAATATAATATTATATTATTAGATTTAGCAATTGGCAGGAAATATTTTTCATTAAATTTAAATACTATCAAATATGATAAAATATTAAAACTAAAGTTTTATTTATTTTTAAAGATTTTACAATTTAGACATTATATGTATAATAGAACAATGATTAGTTGGCTTATGTGGCACAAAGGAGTAATAATTAACAAACAAAATTGATATCATAGTTTCTTAATATGAAGGCTTTTAAATTTTTTAATTATTATTATTTTTTAAATAATTAAAATTATATTATTATATTGATTTTAAATAAAAAATTATATAAAAAATATAAAAAAGATTGTATCTTTGGTTTATTTAGATAATAAAAAATGAACTCAAATTTGAAATAAAAACATAAGTTAAATCTCATACTATGAAAATACTTTAGTAATGATTCATTGAATATAGAAAAATCTTTTAAGAAATTACATGAAAATAGATAAAAAGTCAACTAGATAACAAGAAAATACTTCTTAAAAAATAGAAAAAAACAAAACAAAACAAAACAAAACAACAAAAAAAATGATAAGATATCATTAGAATTATATTGTGTTTAAATATCAAGCTAAGTTTAAAAAAAAAATTAAGTGAATTATTAATTTATAAAAACCTAATGTTGTACAAAATAAATTATTACACACAATACATTGAGTACTAAAAAAAAATCACAAATTTATTTAACTCAAAATATAAATATATAATCAATAAACTCTCAAATTTCCCTCTTTCTCCACCTTCTTTATTCAGTAGGAGTCCTTCCACTCAACTTGGATTACAAAACATACATAGTTAAAGATGAAAACCACAATGATATTGATACAAAAATATAATCATCAAAGCTAATATTGTAGTAGCTAGACCATCTAAATGTATGACAAATATGAGATAAGAAATTTTTAATTCTTTTCAATATTTGAGGCATGGTTAGAAGAATTCTTACAACAAAGACAAATCTAATTTCTTAAAGGAAGAATTAAAAGAAATGGGATCAAATATGCCACATACCACCTATGTTAGCTTTGATTACAAAAAAACATGATAGTAATTTTTTATTTTTTTTAATCCACATAAAAAACAAAGAAGTTCAATTGGTACAATTGTCAATTTAAGATGTATAAAATCATCAATAATTAGATGATAAAGAAAATCATTCCTTGAATATTCTCAACACTCTTATCAAGATACATTATTTACAATCTTGACACATCATCTAAAAAAGATATTTCTATTCTTAGAATAAAATTTCTTAATATCTTATGCATTTTATTTATCATATGTGCCACAAAATTTGTAGCTCTTTATGATAATATATATATTTTAACTAATCCTAATGGTGTCTTTATAGTTCTCAAATCTCTATTTGTATTGTCAATTGAAATTTTTTATATCTCAAATAAATATTTCTCATAGAATAAATTATTCTCCTTGCAAATGCATCTGTAAACTCATCTATAATTGGACTTGAATCCATATTTCAAATAGCTACTTTATTTATTGAATGCATATCTTCAATAAAATTCAATGCTCTATTTCTTTTAGGTAATATGAACCACCGATTGGAATATGGTGCAGTAGATGGTTCTTTATCCAAGATACATTATGTTTTATAGACAAAAACTTTGTCAAGAAACAAGAAATATCTTTAATCAAGAAAATTAAATCCTTACATGTAGAAGTCATAGATGGTCGTTTGTTGTCTTTCGGAGATATTATTTATGAGACTATTCTTTTAGATATAACAATTAAAGATCATAATAGTATAATATTATTTAGTGTAATAAGATCTCTGTCTAATCTAATTATTTTAGGATTATAATGGTTAAAAAAATAAAAACTTCACATAAATTGGATTTCTTGTAATCTTAAATTTTCTTGTAGTTTAATCCAAAAATTTGATAATGAAGTAGAAATAATTAAGCTTAGTACATCCAAGTCTTTATTAATAGATGCAAGAACTTTTATGCATACAGCAAAAGAAGGATCATCTTTTGCTATATATGCCACATCTAATTTTGATGGCAAAAAGACATCAAGTAGTATTCTTATTTAGTATTAAGATTTCCATGATGTTTTTGAAAAAAAGAATGCAGATATTCTTCAAAAGCATCAACCTTATAATTATTCAATTAATTTATAAGAAAGAATTCAACCACCATTTAGACCATTTTATCCCAAAATGAATTGGCTATACTAAAGTAATACATTTACAAGAACTTGGCTAAAAATTTCATACGTATCATAAATATATATCTACTATAATTATTACATATGTAATATGAACAGATAGAAGTAGATAAAAATAGATTGATTTCACAATATTTTCTTGGAAAAGTTTTCTAGAAGCTTTTTAGATGCTCTTTTGACTTTACATGTGTTTGTAATTGATTAGTAGGTTAGAAACTTAGACAACAAGTTAATCATGTACCATATATGTTGATAGCTTATAAAACAAGTTAACCATGTGGCGTCCATATAGAAAACTTGCCTTGTAAGTTAAGATACGTGTTATTCAAAGTCAACAAGTTTTTGAAGGTCCTATAGAATATTGCCACATAGATCTTATATAGATATTATATATAGAGGCAAGAGTGAAATCTTCTTCACCCTTGTCAATTCCTTTCTTACTTTTCGTCTAGTTTTAAGAGTCACTAGTTTCTTGGTCTTTTGACAATAGCCATTCTAGTTTTTTTTTAATATACATACTTCTATATTTTAATTTTATCATATTTCTTTGAGAGAGCCTCACTTCTTTATTTGCTTTCATTGAATTCTTGTGATAGACAAATTCATAAGAGTACATTCATAATATTAAAACTTTTTCTTTTTTTGATTAAAAATATATTATCATTTTTTTTTATGACTTATAGTGACTCAAAAAACTATTTTAATGTTGACATATTTTTGGAAAGAATGGTATATTATAGATAAAATATAGTATATAATGATATGTGGTATGTACAGCAAATATAATACTTCTTTACAGCTATCAAATGAGCCCAAATTGAAAAGAATCCATTGAAAAATTGCAAAGCTATGACCAATCCAATTTGGAACAATATTAAAACATTTTTTTGAGTGTGGTATCCAATTACATATCAGTACTTTGTAGGACCTCTTTTAGCCTTGATAATTTCTTCTAACCTCCTTGGCATACTTTTTATGAACTTTTAGCACAAAATTACTTCAATATTATTTCATTCTATAGCTATTCTTTTCTATGATTTCCAAACTCTCTTTGGTTTTATCTTTTAGGTGTTGAATTGGCATTTGAGATGTTCAATGGAATTAAGACTAGGAGACTGATTAGGCCAATCCATTATTTTAATGACATGATGATCAAACTACTTCTATGCTAGTTTTGAGTTATACTTGAGGTCATTATCTTGCTAAAAATCACCTCCTCTTCAAAAATACTAGATTCTTCAATGCTACAAAACAAGTTTTTTTCAAGAATTTTCACAAATTGCTTGGCATCCATCCTCCTCTTAACTTCTGCTATCTTTCCAATTCCATTCTATCCCATATAACCCCATACTATTAAATTTTCACCTTCATGCATAATTGTTTCTTGGATCTTTTTATCATGCAAGGACCGATCTTTTTATTTTCATACCCACTTTCTACCATTTGACCTAAATGTGTTGATTTTTGTCTCATACGACCAAATAACCCTCTTCCAATCTTTCAAAGTCAATTTTTTTTTTATTCTAGAGCAAAATCCAAGTATTGTCTTTGATAGCATGTAGATAGTAGTGGCTTTTTTTTCTTCACCACGGCTTTCATATTCCACTTTATGAGAACATTTTGAATGATTTGAGTTGACACAGGATTATTGATAATATTGTTAAGATTTTTATCAACCTCAATACCATTTATAGCCTTTTCAGTGTTGATTTGGCAAATGATTGTCCTTTTCATCTATTATAGTGAGTTTTTTTAGCTTTGCCTAGTTTGAAATTCTTTTTATTAAAAGTAATCTTTTTTGCTAGCATAGAGATAGTAGCTTTACTTCAGCCAAGTTCAAAATCAATTTGGCTAAAAGTTTTTTGAGAATGAAGAAGAGCAAATGTGATATTATCTTAAAGAGAGTGGAAAATGGGTCTCATAGTTGTTCAAGGAATTGTCATGGACAAAAAAATCTAATAAAGAAATATGTCAAGATTAAAGACAAAGAATGAGATTGATAGCAAAAGTGGTTCCAAAGACTCCTATTTATACTATAATGAAAGTTACAAAAGTCTATGGTACTTTCTATGGAAGTGTTTTGAAGTCTAAAGAAGCTTCTAGAAGTCTATGGAACTTTCTAAAAGATTGTGGAAGATTCTACAAGTATCTAAAAGATTCTAGAAATTTGTAAAAGATTTTAGAAGGTCCTAGAATGTGATAATTTGGAATATGTTTGTGCCAAAAATTGTGATTAAGAATGGTGCTTTTATAGCTACTAGTAAGCATTAATGATGTCATATAATTATCAAATCATTCACACCATGACAGAGAATTGTTGTAGCTTTCATCAAATGCACCTATTGTAAACAAATAGAAGAAGAAGAAAAGAAGAAAAGAAAAAACTTACACAATGTCATGTTCCAAAGAGTATATTTTTCACAATTGTGCAAATTGTGATCTTATTTGCACAACAGACATACTGTGCTTTATGCAAGCATTCTACCCATTTCCTCATACTTTCCACAACAAACCCCCGCAGGAATAGACATACATCCTCCCAACTACATGTCTCAAAGGAAACCACACAGCACACAAAGAAGCCCCACACTAAATATAATAACCGCACTGTTACTGTGACCCATTTGCAATCATGGACCTTTGAGGCAGACAGTACCTCTACAAAGAGGTTGAAGCTCGTCATGCAAACCCTACTTGGGTTTCATTCCATCGGAAGTCCATGCTCACGCCACTTTCTTCTTCACTGGTATCAAGTCTTTCCACTCTTTTGCCACTCTTTGAGCCCAATGATTTTGGGAATCGTCGACTAGGATTTCATCTCTGTGTCTTTGACGCAGCGCGGAGTTGTTGTTGTTGAGATATGTCTGTGATACTGTGTGCTGGGGTGTGAAGTAGAATTTGTAGGAGTTTGAGGTGGTGTGGAGTTGGAGGAAACTGAGAGTGTGATGAATCGGATGCGGGGGAGAGATAGGGCGGAGTAGTGGAGGAGTGACACGGTGTGATGAGGTTTTGATGTGAAGAGGAGGAAGGGGGCGGGGGAGGTGGTGAAGATGAGAGGGGGGAGGTTTCAAGCGAAGAGCAACGAGGACGCAAATGTGCGGAATGCCGAGGCGTTGTTCGAAGCGAAGACGGTCGTGGAGATCCGTGAAGTTGAATCGCTGACGCGCAATGAGATTGAGGCGAAGAAAGAGGATCTTCGACAGCTTGTTGGCGCTAGTTACCGCGACTTGATCGAGTCGGCGGACTCGATTTCGCTCATGAAGGAGTCATGTCAGGCGGTGGTTGCCAACATTGGCAAGATGGAGCGGGGATTTGAGGATTTGAACCGGAGCGTGAGTGTGAATGTGTCAAGTCCTGGTGCGGATAGTGAGCGAAGGAGGAGAGAGAGTTTGTATGGAGTTGGCTCTAGGGTTAAGTATCTCGTGGATACGCCGGAAAAAATCTGGGGATGTTTGGACGAGCATATGTATTTGGAGGGCGCGGAACGGTACTTACGAGCCAAGGAAGTGCACTCGCTTTTGACTGGGATTGGAGCGAAGGAGAAACTGCTTGGGAGGTTTCCACTTCTACACCAGCAGTGGCCCTTGATTGAGAGATTCCGAGGGCAAATCTCAAAGCGTAGTAAGGACAGATTGCAGGAGCCAGAATTGAGCGTCGATAATTATGCGGTTGCTCTGGCCGCTTGCGGCATCATCGATGAGCTTAATTCCTCGCAGATCTTCGCTCTGTTTCTTGAGTCGCGCAAGTTGTGGTTGAGGTCGCACTTGCGTGCGTGGATGCAGGAGAGGAATTCAGGGAAGAATGGAGGAAAGGTTGATAACACAGTGGATGTGGCAACGGCCCTTTGCAAGCTGATGCAAATGATCCAGACCTCCTTGTGTCAGATCGGGATATTGTTCCTGGAGATTTCGACTGGGAAGATGCCTCTGCTCTACAACACTGTTTTGGCAGCTCCGCCGGGTTCACAGCTCTTCGGAGGGATTCCGAATCCTGAAATGGAGGTTGCCGCGTGGAAGAAATACAGAGAGAAGCTCGAGAGTAACATGGTTTCTTTGACAGGAGCATATATTTCCGAAGCCTGCGTGGAGTGGCTTAAGGATTGCACGGAAGAGATTGCTGTAGAAGCGCGACCGTTGATAACATTATTAAGGACAGGTAAGGAATTGGCTTATGTCGAAGGTTTGGTGCGTGAGGATATGAATAAACATGGAGCATTGTCAGAGAGCATTGATTGGCTGCAAGGCACCTTCGGAAAATCAATAGACTCTCCATGGGACTGCATTTGTGAGCTTCTCTTGAAGTCTCCCACAAATCTGTGGGACAAGCTGTTTGAGGAATTGTTTATCAACCAGATGAAGACCAACACAAAATTGGGTTTCGCCGCAATCAACGTGGAAGACATGGTCGACAATTGTCTTGAGGCAATGAGTCCAGCGACTCCTTTAGAAGAAACTTATAAGAAGCAAGTGTCAACGGCAAAGGCAGGCGACAACGTCTTGAAGGGTCCGAATCTTCATTCCAACGGAATTCTACATTGGAATTCTGTTGCTGTGCAGAACGAGTGGAACGGTGACGCCCTATTCTTTTTCACACCACAGGTCACAAATGTGAAGGACAAAGTGGATGAAAGTCTTAGATCAATACTCAATGACTTAGTAAGCTTTTTGCAAGGGCCTTATGTACAGATTAGAACAGATTCACTAGCGCCTTATCTACAGGAACAGTGTTTCCAGTGGATGTCAGGCGTAATTAAGGTGCTTCAAACTCGATTCTTGAAGCTTTCTGAGGACTTTGACAAGGCAGCTGCTGAAGAATCGAACTTGACCGTAGAGAGTCCAAAGCATGCCTTGGAAGGCACCTTTCAGAGCAGGCTAGTCAGTAGAGGTGGCGTCGAAGTCCATGCATCAAAGACAAGAAGGATCTCAAAGGTGGTTGAACGAGCTCTATTTCTGGGTCGACTTTCTGCAGCTTTAGGAGGTCATTCTACTTCTCTGGCTTCTCTTTTAGGGTCTACCACATCGTGGACTGATCCTCTTCGTCAATCCTCAAATATGGTTTCGTCTCAGATAATGCGACAATCATTGTGGTCTGAAACAAACTCTAGTTTTGAGGGTCCTTTGAAGTGGTCCTCCAGAATGAGAGTGAGGGTCGCGGCAGGGTCAGCTTCTGACGATGGGGCAGTAAAATTACGAGAGTTGCAAAAGGGTTTAAGGCAGCAGAGTATTGCTGCTCATCGGATGTGGGTTCGTTGGAGCACTGATGGCTTAGCTGGCACGTTCTTAAGGGATCTGCACCAAGATGAATGCTTGTCCACTCCCACACCACTCAAGGCAAGCTCCTCCATGGTTATTTCCTACGTTTTTACTTGTCTAGGTTTTGTGATTTTGTAATTTTACAATGTACTGGATAACTTCAGTTTTTTCATTTGAAATACTTTTTATCCCCGAAATGGGCTGGTGTCGTTCTTGCATGAAAGTAATGACGTGTCATCGTAGTCAATGGCTGCATGAAGTGTCAACCTACTCCATACTTAAGATTGGTGACTCCTATGAAGTTGGTTATCTTGTAATTCACAGATGAGATCTGCAGTTATGCCGTGGAACTCTGAAATCAATGTTTTCGACGTTGCCATATTAATTTCATTAGTTCCATTTGTTGTCTTGCAGGGATGGGAAGAGACTGTAATCAAGTCTATTGGAGATGACGACGTGGAAGTAGACGCGCGTATATCTGTACCAGCTATGCCGTCATCTTATGTTGTTGCATTTCTGTTCGCTGGTTGCCGAGAAATTCATCGGATCGGCGGTCACGTCCTAGACAGATCTGTTTTGGAGTTGTTCGCTTGGGAACTTTTAGAGAAGGTAACCTTGTTCCAATTCTGCGTACGATTCTGCTAATGGTAACTCTTGATTTAGTTCTCAAATGTTTCTTGCAAGGACTTCTCATCGGAGGTTTACTCCGTTCTAAATTCACAAGCATGAGTGTAGTATGTTTTGTGAGTGAAATCAGATTCGTCACAACATGTTTGTGAGTGGACTATCAAAAGGTTAAGTTTTCGAAATTAGCAGTTACCGTAATTGATGCCTTCAAATCTTGGATGCAGGTTCTGGCAATATATGAGAAGTTCATATCTCATCCTTCTTTCATGAACTCACGTGTCTCAGAGAAGGGCTTGCTGCAGCTCCTTTTTGACCTGAAGTTTCTAGCAGATGTGCTTTCAGGGGGCCAAGATGTGAATGTTGAAAGCTTACGTGCAGTAGGAACTCAGGATCTAGCTCCTTCCTCTGCACTGAAGGGACCTACGAGTTTGAAAGCAGATGTTGGCCGCCAGAGGTGGATCAACAAATTGCTGGATGATTTACATAATCGTATTGACCCTATCGATTGGGCTACGTAAGTGATTATTTCGTAGAGTTTGTAATTTTTTGGAAGATTTCGTTACTATCGCAACTCAATGGAGCAGTATCTTTGATGTCTTTCAAATGATTTTACATTTGAACATTTGTGGAGATACGCATCTTGTAAGTTTGGAGGTATATCGTTCTGCAGGTACGAATCTTACTTGTGGGAGCAGGAGCGGCGATATTACCAAAGCTGTGCTGTGCTCTTTGGCTCCCTGATCCAGTTGAAACGCCTCCACACCGATGTTCCACAAAAAGTCATGTCTACAGGAGAGACTAATACCCTGAATATGTCTGCAACTGTTCCGCGTTTCACTTACCTGCCTATCAGGTATATTCCAATCTTCTTGTATTAATTGCAACATCTTTTAGTCTTACTCTTTCATGAGTGAACTAGTTAGAAAAGGGAGTTGTTTTTCCGCTGTTGTGTGGGTTAGTCCCCTACCTTGTGCCATCACTAGTGGAGTGTGAAACTGCATTACAGTATGTTTTATCATCGACGCAACGGAGTATTCAATGACACTTGGATGTTTTCTGAGGCCGAGGATACTTTTTTACTGTGGTGGTTTTGGCTTGAGTAACTTGTTTATGGCAGTGTATTCCTATGCCTGAATAGCTCGTGTGTGAGTGAGTATTATAATAATAATAATAATAATAATAACATTTCGGTACCTTTGGAATGTGTCGCAGTGCTCCCTTGTTTTCAGTTACAAAAGCATCCCCAATGAGGTCTCGACGAACCCAATCACAAGAGGAAAAAGATGCAGTTTGGAGAGCATCAGTGCATAGTGATGATGCTTCTACGTTCTCCTTTTCTGATTCACCATCTCAGAATTCTCAAGGATCTGCCAAGTTACTGCAGCAACTCATGGGAGTAAGTGATTCTACACACATACTCATTTACGTGCTCTGTGATTCACCAAAGAATTTATCAAGTAAACTATGGCTTGGTCTTTACATCCTATAATTTCTTAATTATCTGCCAGAAATTGAATGTGCAGTATCATTTAAGTATTACAAAAATGCATTGAATCTAACTTGGTCGTTCAATGGAATGTGCAGGTGGGAACTAAGTTTGGGGAGGGAACGATTGGGAAGCTGCTTAGCGACGGGCAAGTGAATCGGTTTAAGGACAAGTCCGCTGCAGCTATTTCTACGTTTGGTGATATGCTGCCAGCGCAAGCAGCTGGACTTTTCTCCTCCCTAGGAAGTGCAATGAAACAAGACTCAAAATACGATATATTAATAGGTTCAACAGCGAGTAACCCTTTCTGAGGACTATGGCTTCACGTGCATTCTTTTACGGAGTCTTCCTGCATGGGCCACACTAATGTCGGAACTGCACTCAGGGTGCATTTTCAGATGTTCTACATTAGGATTATTCAGATGTTGAACAAATCTTGGGTGTTTAGTACAAAGAGTATTTGGTCAGAAGGCCTGCCCGGAAGTCCCATGCAGTGTATCTGTGGTGATGTAGGGTTGGACAGTTGATCATGGGTGCAGGAGAGGAAAAAGAACGCGCTTTAAGCTAATTATAATTCTTTGGTAGTATGTTTTCCCTGTTAGGTCTACACTTTGTTGATTAAGAGAGGGAAAACACCATTTTTCTTGTGTTCTTTGCTATTCCTTCTGTTTCTCCTAGTGCTATTCTACTGTCTGAAGGTTTGTGAAGCTTCTCATGATCGTTTTGAATACAAACGTGGGATTCAGTTTCTGCTTTTATCCTCCAAAACGCAGACGAGCGTGTGATACTATTTGATAATGTCGTTACGGAGCTGCCTCACCATTTGGATCAAAATCTCATGGATGAGCCAATGCTGCAATGTTTTTGTAAAGAGCTCAACATCATTCGATAAAAACCCGACTCCCAAACATGACGGAGAGACTAAGAGTTGGATCGAATGCTCCTAACGGTTGACAAAACTATCCACCACACCCACCTTACATCTACATATACGCAGTGTACAATGTAGACAATTCCCAAGAGATGAGAGGATTTCCTCTCCACAAGCTCCACTCTGTCTCGAGTTCATTCATCCGCACAACGGTCGAGCTTGATCATCAGCATCCCCAGGAACAAGCCGCTGGATTGTGCGACTGTTATTGACGTTCCAAGGGGCGTTGAATGTTTGTGCGCAGCCTTATGTTTGTTGCGGAATCCAAGCTGCGCTGATTTTGGTCATCGAGCTTGGAGGTTTGCAGCTATGGCGGTGGCGATGGGGGCTAGAACCCTAACATCAGCGTCGACGTCGCTGGTGTTGCCCAAGTCGTTGTCCAAGGGGGCAGCATCTGCTCTCCTTGGTCATGTCAAGCTATGGACGAGTGTCAAGGTTGGGGGTTCAAGGGCAATGTGCACAAACTCCTCCGGGGTTCGCCGGGGTGGTATCGCCAGGTCTGCAGTCTCGGAGGTGACGGCTTCCAAAATCGGTGCCATCTCCACGGAGGGCTTGCCCGTGAAGGCTTTAATGGAAGTGCTGGACGCGGCCGGTCACCGGGGCGCCGAGGTGAGTCTTTTTGGAAGATTTTGCAACCTACGTATTGGGGATGCATGAATTTCTCAAGGAATTGCTATGATTTGGCTTCGGAATTTCTGGGGCAATTCAGTCCTTGAAGCACGTTAATTTCGCAGTCAGATATTAGGATTCGACGCTGAGAATATGAGCGCATCCAATGGTTTCTATTGAGTACGCACCGCGGGTTTTGGATTTATAGGCACGAACACTCGCCGGGATTAGAAGGACCACTGGCAAAATTGAAATTCGGGTTAATACTTTGTGATGGTTCTTCGCGATTTTCGCGATTTTCGGAGTGCGTAATCTAAATTGACTGGTGAATCTCTTGTTTACAATTGCAATTCAGGTTATTATGGCTGCACTTGACAAGCCGCGAAGTATAGATTATAAGGGCAAGGCTGACCTTGTGACAGAGTCAGTGTCTCTCAGCACCTCCCTTTTCTATTATTTCATTGTAGATTTCAAGACAAATTGCCTTGTAAATTACAGTGTCGGGATGCAATGGATGCAATTAATTTGGAGTCAAGATACATGCATTTCCCGTCATACTATTACTAGAGGTGACGCAACCTTATTGTTGGGTAATTGAATCATCAGGCATTGTCCAAATGAAAGATTATGTGCTTAGATTTGAAGATTTTTTTTCGCAAAAATAATCTTAGGATTCGCTTTTACACGCTTGAGTCCATAGTACCTTTCCATTATGAATCATATCTGCTACCTGTGACTGAATGAGTGGAGTTCAGTAAATTACTAAATACTGCGACAATGATCAACAGCACGGATCGTAATACGGAGCTTGCAATTTTAGAGGTCGTCCGGGAGAAATTTCCAGATCACCTTATTTTGGGTGAAGAGGGTGGCGTGAGCGGAGACTCAAACTCTGACTACCTCTGGTGCATAGATCCCTTGGGTATGTTTGTCTTGGCCACTCATTCTAATTTCACTTGAACTCTCTGTCTACTTACTTTCTCAATTTGTTCATTTGGTAAATTTTTTGATGAAAAAGAAAAAAGAAAAAAGAAAAAAAAAAAAAAAAAAAAAAAAGGGGGGGGAAAAATAAGGGGGGGAAAAAAAAAGAAGCGAAATTCCGGTGAAGACACTGTAGCTCTTCTGTTTGTTATTCGCTACATCATAAACAGCAGGCCTTGTTAGGTTTTAAAGACTGTTTCTCTACTTTATATTACAATTCAGACATATCTACATTCCTTTGAGTCTGTATCTCTTTGCCTCCTGTCTGTAGATGGCACCACAAATTTTGCTCATGGCTATCCTTCCTTTGCTGTCTCAATTGCCGTGCTTTATCGAGGGCGGCCTCTTGCTGCCACGGTGGTGAGTACTTATTTACTGTGGTCCCATTCTCCCTAACACCTCTCTTGTACTTTCATGCTTTCTTTTAATCACGTGTATTTTGATCCTTGAATTTTTACATTGGTAGCCATCTCTAGCTCTTCAATATTTCCTTGTCTCGAAAAATGATTTGAGGATTACACCGGTTATAAGTAATCATGTGTGATTATTGTAGGTGGAGTTCGCGGGAGGACCTTTTGCATGGGTAACGCGGACATTCACAGCATCTGCAGGCAACTGCCACCAGTCAGCCCTGCTTTCCTCAGTCGATTTTACTTGTGGATGTTACTTAAGAGAGCATTTTTGTAGCGTCGGGTGTTGGCTTCAGGCATTAATCCTATTCTGTATGAACAGCAGAATGATTTGGTTCTCAGAATCATCCACTAAGCGAGAATTTGTCATCATGACGTTGCTAGTTTTGGACATGATTGTATAGACCTGGGAACTGTAGGTGCTTTTTGTTTCTCTATTAAACAGCATTTGTTACTTGAAATCGCAGGAGGGGGAGCATTCTGCAATGGCCAGCGCATTCATGTCAGCAGCAATGATATGGTACTTTAGCACGCCTGTGAAGACCACTTGATTTTTTTTATTACTGAGGGATTGTATCCAAATTTAACTAGTAATGTCTTAAATGTTTTTCATAGATTACAAATGCTTTTTCCGTACAAATTTTGGCTCATTTTCAGATGTTCATATTTTCTGCGTAGTCCCTTCTGGCTTACCTTGGGACTTTGTTATGTCCTTACTAACTACATTTACAATCTTTGTCGGTAATGAATGAGTTGAAACAGGTAGAGAGGTCTCTATTGGTGACTGGATTTGGATATGACCATGACGCAGCCTGGGAAACGAACCTTGAACTATTCAAGTACTACACAGACACTAGTCGGGTACATGAATCACCTCTATCGATTGCATCAATAAGCATTTTGTGCATCATGTAATTACCACGATTGTTTTTGCAGAAGACTGTTTGTTCTGGAACTTTAGAATCAGTGCGATGTTTTTGTTACGTTTTCTTGGCTATCACGAACGACAATTTATTGATTTTTTGCATTTTCATTACTATTATTTTCACTCAACATTACTCTGCATTGCGACTTGACTCCACAGGGTGTCAGGAGATTGGGTGCAGCTGCGGTAGACTGTTGTCACGTTGCTCTTGGTATTGCTGATTCTTACTGGGAATTTCGCCTCAAACCCTGGGATATGGCTGCTGGTGCTCTGGTATATCCTTTTTCACATATTTGTTTCTTGTAATTCTTATAGGCTTTTTAGGTGACTGGTTGCAATTAGACGCTTTGCACGTGTTTACCACCTGGCTACATGACAGAACCCGTCTTCCTGAGCTCAATTAACCCGAGAATTGTAACTCCCAACATATGACTCTATTAGCTAGGTTTTGTATATTTTATCTAATACCCAACTCTCTGGCTTGGTTCAAGTGCTAAGTTTCGTATATTCCAAGCAATCCTGAGAATAAGCTTAGATTGGTCTGTTTCATGCCCGTGCCTTTCAAGGTTCTGCATTGTTGTTTTCCACTCAAAAGTTTGTTAAGACATGGACAAGGTGTGATGAAAGCAGATGGTAGAAGAGGCTGGAGGAAAGGTGACGCGTATGGATGGTGGGCCTTTCTCTGTCTTTGATCGTTCTGTCATCGTCAGCAACGGAGCTATTCATGACAAGGTTAGCTCATAACTATTTGCACCCAACTGAAAGCCTACTCACGCTCATATTCCTTTCTAAGCTAGGTTGCAGCTTGCACTGCTGTCCTTTGTTGTGATTTCTCTACATCTACATCATTTTTGCTTGTGCTATATGTGATTGCAGCTGTTGGAAAAGATTCAACCCGCCACCGAGAAGCTCATTGCGGATGGATTGAACTTTTCCCAATGGTTGAAGCCCACTGGCTATAACTCAGATGTGTAAGACAACAGTTACTTCTACAGTGTCCTATCTCTGTTAACGATCAGTGGTCAGATTTTGTTAGTCTATTATCTCTGAAGTCACTGCTTAATAAGACTGGATCTCCCCTTTTGAGACTTGTCTCTGAACCTTCTTAAGCATCTCCAGATCAAGGAGTTTTACATGCTTTCAAAAGAGGCATTTTCTAAAACGTGGACGGACCATATGCTTGTCATTTTCACTCTCTAGTCTCAATTCTGCTATCAGGCTCCATTTTTTAACTTGTACGATGTGATGAACTCTTTGTGGATCATACATTATTCTAGAGATCATGTTTGAAGCAGATTCGACGTGGACACACCCTGAAATAATGACTCCACCCACCTCCCAAATGTCTCTGTTCAACAATGCTCAACAATTCTTGCCCTTCACAGCTAAAGATTCACTCTCGATGCGGTTGTTAGCCTTGGTCGACTGGACTGCAGGCACTGGCCTTCATCCATAGCTGCTCCTGTATTGTCAAATAAAGCATACAATTGTTTGTGTTTGCATCCAGTTAGAATTGCAAAATTGTTTTACCACATGTACTGTATTTCTGTATTTTCGACAAACAATTAATACAGTTAAAAATGAAATTAACTTTCAAATGTGTGAAAGAAGTGTTTGGAATTTTTTATTCATCTCATAAGATCCATCATTTAACTTGTAATGGCCAATTGAAACAATTATATTTACATATCAAACAAAAAATTATTTAACAAAAAGCTTCAACATAACAATAGAATGTACCTAAGATTGTTTCTGTATTACAAAATAGAATTTTACAGTACAATTTTTCACAATTATAAGAATTTTAAGCTGTAAAGTTTAGAATTGTTTCAAGTATTAATACAATTATGATGTATTATTATTATTATTATCATTTTTTTTCTTCTTTGATTTCTACAAAACAATATCACAAATAAAATCAAATACATCGTTGTTTTACTAATCAAATATTGAAGAAAAAATCTATGAAGTGCTTTAATGTATTGATAGCACTTAATAAATTTGTAAAACTGTATAAAATGCTATGAGATTTTATTTTATTTTAATCTTATCATAATTTAAGACCAATAAATCTTTTTGTGGATAAATATACTCAAAAAATATCCACTGATCATGTCAAATTTAAACCTTTAAGTACATTTTATTTCAAAAATGTATTTAAAGCTTAAATGTACTTAAAGACTTTTTTTAACTTCTGAAAAATAATGTCTAAATTAAATGTTCATCATAAAAATATAAAATCAAAATTAAAATCCAACTTGTTTCATTCAATAAACAAGCTCTAAAAATTATAAGCTGTGTGCATTCACATAGTGTATATTTTTGCATGGATTTTTATATTTTATCATAAAAAGAACTATTATTATGTAAGTATTGCCAAATTAAGTTTTATACATTTATTCTTTATTAAAATTTGCAGTATGAACCAATTAACTAAATATATATATATATATATATATATATATATTACTTCTTTTATGTTAGAAGAATTATGATCTTTGTAAATATTAGTAAAAATATTCATTTAGCTTTATAATTGTATTTGTATTTTCTCCAAATAGCTAAAAAAGATATATTAGCAAAAATTTGCAAGCATGCAACTTATTTTTTCTAATATTGTTTTTTATTTTTAAAATAGTTCTACCTTTCAAGATAGATCTTATTGAATTTGAGTAATTCTTGCAGGAACTAAAAAAGAGAGAAAATTACTTAAAGTGGTTTTAGTACTAGAAGAGTAAAAAACAAGCTGTAAATAAACCCTGGTTACTATTATTAGTCTTAACTATAAATCGAGACCAAATCAAAAATACAAATAAAAAGATAGTGGCCAATGTGTGAATAACTCTTATTTATTTTAGTTGCTCTATAATAAAATTATCTTATGATATTAGATAGAATAAATTATATTATAGGAAATTAAATAATCAAATTCAATGTTATCAATTATATATATATATATATATATATATATATAGTAGAATTTTGTAGTCTAATTACATTGATTTTTAAACAATTTATTATGTGGATTGGTGAAATATAAGCTATTAATAGATAAAAGTGAATCATATTTTTTTAATACTTATATTTTTCTAACTTTAGATAAATTAGGTCTACCTTTTGCATTGAGATAAAATCATTTGGAAGTTGTGTGTTGCATACGTAATGACAATAAACAAGACAAAAATATAGAAATTGGAAAATTTTGCCTTAGATTCAATAAAAAATGTCTTTTTGCATAGATAGTTGTATATCATATTTTCATAAGAAAAATCTTTTAGAAATACTAAAATATTGTTAAAAAAGAATGGAGTAGAAGTTATTAGATAAATATTAAATATTATGTATAATAAAACCCTCCAATAGTAACCATAGTTGACTTATGGTTGTTTTTTTGTTGCAATAATATGATGAAAAAATCCAAGATTTTGTGTTAAATTTTTTTTGAGATGCTACCTTCAAAAGTTGTAATTGAATAAAGAAAACACATCTATATATCAAACTACTTATTCACATATTCATTATTCTACCATTTCTTTGATTCACTTAATTGCATATAATATTTCTTCACTTCAAAATTACATCTTTGGTAAAATTACTCTTAATAATTATATAAAATTACAAAAAAAATGTATTTCACATTGTTGTATTATGTGTTGTCTTGTTTGGGAATGCATTGGGCACTTGGCTATGGAGGTAAACTTGTATTTTGTAAATAAAAAAGAATCTAATAACCTTATTAAAACCCTATATAAACCCCAATTGAAGATCAAAATTTCTAATTCAATCCTAATCAAATCCTAAAGAAATTCTACACAATTACTAATTGAACCTAATCAAATTCTAAGTAAATTCTAAAAAATCCTAATAAAACCATAAAATTACCTCAAATAAATTCCAATTGAATTCTAACTAGATCTTTTAGCAAATTTAAAACATCAATAATTAATAATTTAATTATTTATCTTATTTTAAAATTTGCATACTTCTCAATCTATTAAATAAAAATAAGGACACAAAATTTGAAAAGAATTAAACTTATAGATTAAGAGAAAAAGCTCCTAATTGGTTCAAACATTGGTTGTCCTCCTTCTTCAATATAAGTTTCTAAAATGGAGACTCTTTTTTATTCCACAAATCTCAAAGTCATCCAAACCATCTTTGACTTTGTAAAACTCTAACAAAGTTATTATCCACTCAAATCTCCTCAATCAACTCTCAAAGAAACCTTATCAAGTTTGCTCTCTTAACCTCACTTTCCAATCAATATAAAAAAGCCACAATTGTTGTGGACATGCAATTTTGTACCTTGGATTTGATTTCACAACCAAGTCTAGTTTCACAACTTGATTCACAATTGGTCCTCTCTAGGTGTCAATCTAAGAATTTTCTATGTAATTTTTCTTATTTTTTTATTTTTTTATTTTTTTTTTCATCTAAAGATGCATTTAATAATATTTTTTTTCTAACCTACATTATTTTGCTTTGTTTATGGCCCTACAAGTAAATAGAAATATTTTTTACACTAATATTTTTTTACTACCTTCCTATTTGTACAAAAGGCAACATTAAAACTAATATTTTTTACTACACTCCTATTCTTACTTATATTTTTATAAAGTAATTTGCTACAATGTTTTTGATTTAGTTCTTGTATAATATAATGATTTTTTTTTTCTTTCACCTAATAATTTTGTTATAACACAGCATTGTTACTATTTGTAAACTCGAAATAATATCATTTTATAAACATGTACAGATGTAAAAAAAAAATTATTTCTAAAAAAAATAGAATCAATCTCACTAAATGTGTGATGCCTCCATCTATTTGGAAATGATCTCACACATATAGAGTTTTTCTTCTTCTATAAAAATATTTCAACTTTATCAAAACAATCTTACAAAACAATCTTACAAAACAATTAAGAAGCCTCATGTTTCTATCACAAATTGATAGAGACCAGATTTTTTGGTAATAATCAAACTGCATATTGCACCTTGATTACTAGATTTCCATTACAAATCTAAATCAAAACATTAAAGAAATTTTCAAACGAATAAAAAATAAATTTTATTTTTGAACTTCAATCGAACTATTCTATAGACTAGGTGCATAGGCCAAGACTATCCTCAAACCATCTCCTTACTTCACCAAGTCCAAAAAAATAGGTCCAGTTAGCAACTTAGAGATGGGAAGGGAAGGGAAAAAAAAAAAAAAAAAAAACTACACAGAGACAAAATTCAACATCACGAAATGAAACTCACACACGCTATCCTTGACTTCAAAATCAAAAACCCCTGGCGGCTCTGGCTTGCGTCCTCGCAAAGCCCAGCCCAGTTTCAAGAGCTGTGCCCTCAGGTCCTGTGTTTTTGTTGCATCGATGAGGCCGTTTTCTTGGTTTTTGGCGTTGCATCGATTTGTGGGTTTTCGCGTGAGATTGATGTAAAGGAGGACATCCTGACCGCGCTCGCTTTCGTCGCAAAAAAAAGGTTCAGAAATACGTTCGCTTTCGAACGACACTGACGAGGAAAGTATCGGCGAGGGGAAAAAAAAGCGACATGATTCTTTTGAGGATGGGAGGGTGTCGGGACCCAGTGACTGCTCATGATTCATGGCGTCATTCAATCCCATCACAGTCCAATCTCAAACCCAAATTTTTCCTCGCACGGCAGATCAAGCACTTAATTGGAGCTTGAGTCCTGAGGTAATCGAGCATGGAGAGGGAATTTCAAAACCGAAATCGTCGTCTTAAGAGATGAGTGATTTCCGTGTAACACAATTGGTGAAGCCATCCTGTGTCGATTATTCGATTCTATTAGAGATGTGGTGTCAAGTAGTTGGAATGCTGCATTCTCCCAGGGGGCTGGTCCCACTTCTCTGTATTGTACAGTGAAGTCAAGGACGATTCTCCAACGATTTTGCACGCCGGAAGAGGCTAATTACATTCTTATTCAGCGAGAGTATGTTTTAAAATTCCTTATGTCCTAAAGTGGAGAGGAGCTCCTCCCAGTTGAAGACGAAATTTTGTGAGGAAACACGAGGGACACTGGGTTTGCCACCGTGGAGTTCATTGAATAGCCGTCTATGGATGCTTCCCCCCGGCCATCCCCATTTCCTGTGCATTCAGCCTTGCTAATCTCTCCGCGTCATCTCTCGCCATTCTGTGTTTGTCCTGTTACACCAAACTCGTGACCAGAATTTCATTCGTGCAAGTTGTACTATCCGATCGTCGCCTTTGATAGTGGGTCCTCACTTTCGGGGTAACTCGTCCTCGATGGCATTTATAGTTGGACGTTGGTTTTCGGGCTGCGGAGATTGGAGCTTTCTCGTGCTTTCTGTGTGTGAAGAGATTCTCCAAATTTCGAGGTTTGATAGCTGGAGAGAATGTAGAGCAATTGTAATTAGTAGCCTCTCAGGTCGATATCCTTCCCCAAGTGGGTGTACCAGTAAGAGTTCCAAGTTTGTGTATCAGAACAGAAGGAATTTGAAGTTAACTGGTCGGTGTTTTAGTGTTTATGCGACTACTGGGTGGCTATCGCGTCAGGTCGAGATGAATATTTTTTTGCGGCTCACTTCATCTGCTCTGGAAGCGACCTGGTAGTGAGAATTTCAAAGGAAAGATCAGTCGCCCTGAATTCAACATACAGTAAACTCAACGTTTCAGTTTCGCTTGAGTTTGTTCACCCTACATCGCGCCAAGATATAATTCATCTCTTGAGTTCACAGCTACAAATCGTTAACACACTTGTAAGGATCTCTTGAGCAGAGGCGGGTAGCTTTCGCTGACTGCAGCCGACACAATGAATCGCCAAGTTTCTAGCGACGATTTTCAACCCACCATGCAAACCTACGGTTGGGGTCGTTTCCTGGCCACACAGAAGGGCCGCAAATTGGTGAAGACGGTGAATTCATTTAAGGTCACGATTCTGTGCGGGTTGATCACCTTTCTGGTTCTGCGAGGAACTATGCAAGCCGGATCGACTCTACCGGACAGCACCATGGACTCCGATGTGGAGCTTGTGCGTGGTAGGTCCCCGGCAAGGGCACGCATGCTGACCCAGGTGGAAGGTGATGACACGGATGCTGTTGGCGAGGAAGTTACGTCTAATGAATCCTCACAACAAAAGTGGGATCCCAACAAAACTTACACCCTCGGTCCAAAAATCTCCAACTGGGACGGGCAACGACGGAGTGAAACGACCTCAACCCTGGCAGGAACATATCTCGTGATGGAAAGCCGAAGACACTGCTCGTTTCGGGCTCTCAGCCTGGTCCTTGTGGCAACCCCAAGGGCGACTTCTACCACCTTAAGTTTCTGAAGAACAGGATCGACTACGCCCGCCTCCATGGCCTTGAGATATTCTACAACATGGCCATCTTCGACAAGGAGATGACTTCGATTTGGGCCAAGCTTCCGTTGTTGCGCAAGCTCATGGTGCACAATCCCGAATTGGAGTGGATTTGGTGGATGGACAGCGACGCCCTCTTCACCGACATGACCTTCGCATTTCCCATGGAGAAGTACAAGGGAAAAAAATCTAGTTGCCCATGGGTTTCACAATCTCTTGTTTGAGGAGCACCAGTGGATTGCTTTAAACACAGGGAGCTTCCTCATACGGAATTGTCAGTGGTCTTTGGATCTGCTTGATGCATGGGCTCCGTTCGGCCCCAGGGGAGAAACTAGGGTCAAAGCAGGTGCTCCTCGTTCGTTTCACAACACATCGATTCGAATAAAATCTGTTCTCAGAATGCTGCCTGAAAATTGAACCTCGCAATGTGTGTTTATACGTGTGGCTTTTGGTTGTAGAGAAAATGTTGACGGCGAAGTTGGTTGGGCGGCCAAGTTTCGAAGCCGACGACCAATCTGCCCTTGTGTATCTCCTGCTCTTCGACGGCCCCAAATGGAGGGTGAGCACGCACATTGAGTGGGAGTTTTACCTTCACGGCTACTGGAAGTATCTAGTGTACAAATACGAGGATCTGATATGCAAGAGCAACCCCGGATTCGGAGACGACCGGTGGCCCTTCGTGACGCACTTCGTGGGATGCAAGCCATGCGAGCAAGTCGTGACTGCCGATCTGGAGGAGTGCCTCGCACAGATGGAGCGAGCATTCAACTTCGCAGGCAACCAGGTGCTTGAAAGCTATGGATACCAACATCAGTCTCTTGGATCCTTCAAGACGAAGCGGTTCCGCCAGGATACACAGGATCCCCTCGGATTGCGGCAAGAGCTTCAATCTTTGAAAGCACCATAGGGCAACACACATCCACAATCACCAGGCGAAGTGGGCTTCAGCAGCGAGAGCTGAAATCCCACTTCGAGATAGAATCCTCTAGCCCAACAGCTTCACACAACAAACAGCCAAAACTGCCCGCGATCAATGTACAGTTAGTTAACGAAAATCAAAACCTTCGAGCGGCAGCCAAATTTATTGCTAGTCGGGAATCGAATGCTCGAATACTTCGATGCACTTGTTCGAGGTGACACGGTGCTCACAATGCTCTGTGGTCATGCTGGTAAGCAGAATCATAATGCTTGACCTGATGCATCGAATACCACCCTCGGAGATCAGGTGTAGCTTTGTCCAGTTCTCTCAATTCATGTGAAGAACTATGTAATCTTGTCGGTGGTCTCCGCACAATGGACATCAAAAATATGAGTTTTACACACTTACTGTGTTTTTTCCAATGAAATGATCTGCAAATAATGTCTAATATTAGACTCACAAGGTGGATAGTTTGCCGTGGTTAATAACGATACTCACACGACATAGAATGCCTGTTGACTATAAGTTTAGGAATATATGTTATTTACAATAAACTGGTTTTTAACGTCATTAGAGATATCACAACTAATGCTTTCATACAAAGGTATAATTTGAAAAAAAATGATTAAGCTTTTGTGCCCTAAAGTAATACTTTCTAAATCTCAATTTACAGAACAATGCTGCAAACTAAGAATTTAAAGTGTTAATATCTACTTTAATTTGTAAACCTAGTTTCAAATATAGTTATTTGCTGCTAATACTTTTTTAATTTACCTTCATAAATTATTTTTTTTATAATTGAAGGTTGAAGTTTCGTTTCAATACTTGTAGTTAAAAAAGTCTATTCAAGAAACAAGTATGGCAAAAGAATTCATATTTTATTATAATAATGTATACCAATTGTAATATGTATACTTTTTAAAACAATTACAGAAACCTTGTAAATTTGATTTGGAATGTACAATTCAAATTTGGAAAATATTTGAATTTGGAAAATATTTGGAAAATATTGAATTCAAACTGATAGTCCTTCTTGTTTAAAACATTTACAAAATTTAAATTTTAAAATTTCCCCATAATTAATTTTAAATTTACATGTGACATTTTAAAATATAATGCTTAATATTTTTATACGACACAAAGCACCAGATTTGGAGCATGTAATACAAAAATAGATAGAGAAAAGATGACAACAAAATGAGTGAAAGAGGATGAAAGAACATGAAGCCTTATAAAATTTATTAACAAGTGTAAGAAGAGTTTGAAACCTACTAGTATTTTGAAAACAAATTAATTCTAATACTGCTCACAAATTATTCCTAATGAGAATGAATAAAATCCAAAACAAGAAAAGAAGGAAAGTAAGAATTTTCCCAAAAACAATTTATTTTGTAGAATCAAAGTCACTTAAAACTCCACCAAATTCTAATCAAGAAGTTAACCCTAATAATAATAAAAGTAAAAGTAAAAGCAACAGCGGTAAATTCCTGCAGGTATAGCCCTCGATTCATTAACTTTAATTGTAATGCCACGTGGCAACATGGGTCCAGCGTAATAAGACCCCGTCCAACTGGCATCACGACTTAGGGAACCCGATATATGAATCTTCGCGGCAACCACCAATAAGTGGAGCGCACGTGGATCCCATGGGGCGGGATCCATAAGAGAGTCAACGTCCCCGTTCGTGGATCGGTTGGTCAGGGACGGAGGGACAACAGAGTCGTCGACGGAGCTCCCTCAGAATCGACGAGAAGTTGAAGAAATCGTTTCCTGGTCGTCGTCCCATGCCAACCACGCTCCACGGCCAGAATTATTTTTTGTTTTATTTTGTTTTTATTTGTGTTTTTTTTCTTCGTGTGTGTGATGGGCGCAGTGTCACCGAGTCTTTTCTGCGTGCTCGTGTGGTTTTCTGGAGCATGTGAGCACGAGTTTGCTGTATAAGGAATGTGCAACGCATTTGAGTTTTAGAGGAATTAGGGTTTTGGCGTTTTGCTGCAGTCTCGTGTTTTTCCTCGCAGTCTGTTTTTTTTCAAGTCTCCCCTGGCTATTGGAGAGATAGCAGAGATGGATTGTGTGAGAGCGATGTCGTCTGTGTGCCCTGGGACGACGTTCATGGCGATTGGTAGATCGGGCTTCGGCAATGGTGCTGGCGATGCAGCCAGTTTTCGTGGCAGGATTGGGAGTTTTGCTCCCCCTAGATTGCACGGATCGCAGGTTAGGGGAGGATTGCAAGGAGTGGTGGGTTTGAAGGGGTTCGCGTGGCCGAGGGGAGGCGGAGTGCGAGCCTCTTCATCTGGAATTGGGATGACCCCGAGCGAGCCACTGGATTCCAAGGCCGATAAGGCTGCAAGTGAAGCAGAGGGGGAGTTCGATTCTGTGAAGCAGTCGATCGGAAGCTCTGTGGATAGTGCCAAGGAGACGGCGAGTGATGTGCTTGATGACTCGAAGCAGTCATTCGCGAGCACGGTGGATAAAAAACGGGCGGGGGAAACTAAGAGTTTGGTTGAAGATACTGCCAGTAAGGTTTGTGATATCTGGGCAGACCAGGGTAGTAGATACATTTGTGTAGTTTACTCCGTGCTTAACTCTTTGCTGCTGTCCTTGACTGACGCCAGAAAGTAATTTGGGTGGGTATTTCTGAGGTATCGCGGGATTTGCAGTACAATGCAAGGGTGTGGGATACGCTGACCAGTTTGTGGTAGTTGTCTAGGGGGTGCTTGTTGCTTTAGGTCTTTGTTTGGTTACACTTTGCAGTACATTCTTGATCCACCTGGCATTGCGTTTTTGTTTGTCTCGTAAACCATGCTATCCTTGACTTGTTGATAATTGTATCGATTTGGGGAGTCGATTATTGCAGGGGTTTGCAGTAATTTAGAGGTTTCTTCTTTCAATATATTAACAAGCTTCTGTATTAATAATCTAGTTTTAGAAACACTCCCACTCTTAGAACCTTTAAGCTCTACCACTTTAGGTTGCTTGAAGTGTGCACAGGGCTCTTTTCGTCCTTGCCAGTTGATGAGTGTGACTTGAGTACTGCCTTGCTCCTTCAGCCCTCTTTTTAACTCTCAAGTCATCCTGCTCTCCTTGGGGATTATAGATTGCACACATTCGTTTACGTTTTAAGGGAGAAAATACTTCTGAGGATTCAATATTTTCTTGTCAGGTATTGTGTTTACAGTATATATGTATAATAGTGAAGTGCTGTGTTCCAATATACTCGCGCCAACTTTTACGTCTTTTCAGGAACTGGAGAAGCTCAAAGACATCACAAATCAGCTCTTAGAGCAAGCAGAAATTGCACGACAAAAGCTTGCTGCAACGGCACAGGAAACAGCCTACAAACAGAAAGACAATTTAGCATATGTTGCTGAGAATGGACCGGAGCCAGTGAAAGAAGTCGCAGGATCAGCCCTTAACGCACACTATTCAAACTCTGGAAAGAGCGGTTCTAAGATTCACGATTTCTGCTTAGGTATCCCGTTCGGGATTCTCCTCGCTGGTGGTGGTTTGCTTTGGTTTATAATTTCGGGTGGCACTTCCGCCATCAGGTTCGGTGTCATTCTGGGAAGTGCTCTTCTGTACTTGAGTGTGACGAGTTTGAAGAAGTGGAAAAATGGAGAATCCTCTATGCCATACATCCAGGGCCAAGCAGCCATCTCTGCTTTCCTTTTTCTCAGGTTTATAACACTCGCTGTATTTCTCATGCTGTCTTGATGTGTTAATAAATTGGTTAAGCGACAATCCAGTTTAGAAGAAGAAATACTCTTTTGATAGTAGCACATGTTTTATTATGCTTTTATTTTCACAAATGCGTCTATTCATGAGCTATCTGTAGGTTGCCTGATTTTGAAGTAGTTTTCATTTTTCCACTATTGGCCTGTTTGATATGCTCTAGATTGTAATCTCATTTCCTCTAAGTTGTGATATATGTGGGCTTATCTGAGAAAGTTTGTTTGGGAGCAGGTACTACCGACGTTTTACTGTAAACAAGTTGTTCTTTCCGACAGGAGTTACAGGCTTATTAAGTGGGGCGATGTTGGCCTTCTATATTTATGTATTAGTGTCTGGTGGGAACCCTCCCCCTAAGAAATCCAAGATTCAGTCTAGTTAGGGGGTCAAACTGTCCGACAAGCACCTTTTGGCTTTTCGAATATTCATACCCCTCTCCTAGGCCGTCATGCAAAGCTTAACAGGTGATTCGTTCAATTTTTGAAGAAGAATGTATTCAAGTCATTTAATGGAGCATCAGTTTGGAAGTTCTTAATGTCAAGGCAGTCTGACTTATCAAGAATGATATGAGGCCTCATTCTGTAGGTTTTGTGAATTTGTCCTGCGACATCCTAGATACAGAAGACTTTGTAACTTCATTTCATAGATCAGTCCTCCAGCTTCTAACTAACAAAAACCAATTGCTAATATGGCATTACAATCAGCAAGCAGAGGAAAATGTCAGAGTTACTTCAAGGTCAATTGGACAATAAGTACATTAGGAAATGACAAAATCAAGTTAATAAGAATTCTGCAAAAAAACAATATTTTCCTGCTAGGGTCAACATTTCGTGCCTGGCATTGCAGACAACAATCCATGGTATTCCTCAATTCCACAGGATGATAAACACCCTACAGTGTTAGATAGTTCTGAAGACTCTGTGTTTGATAACATAGTTGGGGGAATCAAAAGCTGTAGATTTGCACTAGTCAAAGCAGTAAAAAAACTGCCACACAGTGTTTCATGATGTTTACAATCACAGGGATACAATATCATCTCACAGTAGAAACAATGATAGTAAAGGAAGTAAAACGTCGGCACATAAGTACCGGCGAGCAACTAGATGTATTTGTGGAGCCATTCGGTAAGTTCTTACTCCAGAAGTTATACACATGGATTACGCGTGTTAGCATTATATGACCAGGCTCCTGCACAATATGCGTTATTATGTGTTATTTCGAAGGGTGGCAACATGCTTCTGGCATCTCTTAAAATGCAAGATTACTAAGAATGCCTTTCACAAGAGACATGAGGCATCAATCAACTCTACTACGCAGTGACCAATATAGGTTGAGTGTGGGTTATCTCGAGACAAGTGATTACGCATCGACACTAACACAGGGCTCGAAATTGCCCAGCATGCCTTAAAACCTTCTTCCTTTCAATTGTCTTCAAAGAAACGCTGTAATCCTTCAACGCAATGGATTTCTGTGAAAGGGACGACAGAGCTTTGACAGCAAAGAGAGCTCTAGATAATGTTTTCTGCGCTTCATACATAAGGTTTTGAAATCCACTTGCAACTACAGTACAGAGAATGTTCTTGCTATTTCAGCAATGGTCGAGTAGGAGTTGACAAGTAAACTCAATAATGTTCAGCAGATATGCTGCAATACCCTGCAGCTGAGCTCAGATGCCATGTCGAAAGGCTCGGCTTGTCACTCCGCGAAGGAATTCTTGCTCATCAACTTGTGATGAATTCAAAATCTAAAAAATATTGAGCAGCAGAAACACCAACCCACGTCATGAACGGATATTTGCACAAAGAGCGGCACTGAGCTGTTTCAGACCATCCCCAATGTTAACCAGAGCATCTATGTAACCACTTCCAAGTTTCATAGCGCCCCGGAACTTCTCTTTCTCTAACTCCAGCTTCACCCTCTCCATCTCCAGGTCCTCTCGGTGTCGCTTGTCTTTCCTATCTTCAGATTCTAACATCGCTTCGACCACATTTTTATTGTTGCGGACCAGTATAGAAGCCAGAGCTTCATCTGCTCTCGACAACAGCTTTCTCTTCTTCCCAGACAGGTGTGGGCCGCTTGTTTCCTCACCGCTCTCATCGTCGGAGTCCACAAGCTCTGCTTTAACACCTGCAAGCGGAGCATGCTCGACAAACTTAGAGGCTGACGTTGTGATCCTCTCAATCCATAGAATTCACATTAGATGGACACGTAATACCGAGAATAAACATCACAGAGCTTTCCCCTTGATTGAAACACTGCACAGAATGTTGCATGGCAGCCTGACAGCCTATACGAGAAAATATACGCATCAACAACAAGATGTATAAGAGCTGTAGCGTTCACGGCCTAGGAAAGATACTTGAGTAATCTACGTAGGCAGTTAGCAACCAGGTTCGCTTGAAACTTTTCGGACACATCTGTGTTAAGGTTGTGAATGTGCAGAGACATCCACTTCATTGTTGAATAGAAACTCTAAAGAAAACCACTATTGCGATCCTAATTCAGAAGCCGTCAAAGAATTCAATTAACTACAGCAAATTATATTACTCGTTGAGTTGTTCGATTTGAATGTCGTGCGCAGAGAACATCACAGATCGCATTATTCACCATAAATTAGAATCTGACCTAGCAATGAAAGGGCACGCATAACATACTCAAGTGACTAGGATTAAAATTACAGACAGTCATAAATCTATATAGATTGGTAAAAATTCGAAAGACAACTAGTTAGCAGGGAAAAGTTAACAAAAAGAAAGTACACGTATATGTACGGTGGTTTTTTAAAACCAAGAGGGTAAAGACTAAGTACTGCAGTTTAAAACGGCCGACAGCCATGAAGACTAACATCAAAGGCCAACATATCAAATACTCAAACGAATTGAAGAACAAACCTGATGGCCCCAAAGGCCCAGAAGTGTCAACGACAAGCTCTCCTGAGTCCGAATTCCTGGTCTTGGTGTTAGACCACTCTAATAAAGCATTGAATATCTCTTTCTGAAAGTTAGGAGGCAGTTTATTTCTCTTCCGCTCCTCGGGCGTCATGTTCCAATAAGACTTATGTCCATTACACGCATGCTTCTCATTATTATAGACTTTCTTGTAAGCTGTTGAGATGACCTCCCACTTATCATGGCACTGCTGAGCGCTTCGCTGAAGCCCGGAAGCCCAGCAATAGTCCTCAATCCAGTTCCACCTCTCCTGCGCAGGGTTTTGAGAGCCCTTGCCACTTCGTTCATGGCGGTGAAGATCCTCTCTTTTTGCTGCCTGTAAAATCAACATCTCCTCTACCACCCAATTGCTCTTCTTATATATACGTCCACACCGTGAGCCCTGAGGATGCCCATATACTACCGCATCTTCGAGTGCAAGGAGAGACTGATGATTGCCAGCATCAATTAAATGACTGTTGCCATTTGCGTGGCTGCCATTAGACTCGTGCAGAATTTGGTCGGGGTCTGATAGATGGGCCTCGTCCCCTTCGTGTGAAGAGTGAGTTGGATCAACGAGAGAGAGTTCACGCCGGTATTCGCCACCATGATGCAGGTCCATCTCTGATCATAAGGAACAATATTCTACCTCGCCGTATAGAACCCACAAAGAAGGCAGTTGGCTCCCTAAGATGTGAGATTCACCACCCTCGCAAAGTATAACGGCAACAGAGAACCTGTTGATACCAATTCAATCCCCTTGATTTGTAGAAAGAAGAAACCTGGGTTTCACCTATTGTCACATTTGACGGCGAGAATTGGCGCTTTGCGAAATGATCCCTCTTCACCTACCCAGCCTCTGATATCAAGCTCCACTAAAATCTCATCAGAATTTCACATACCTTCACCCTTACCCTTAGCCAAGCAGTTGCAGAATAAGAAGTATGTTCTCAAATTCACGCCAGGTTGCAACTTCTATTTGCGAAACTCCGATGAGAACACTCTGATATCTTTCATTCCTTTACAGGCTGAAGAGCTAAACTTACAGCATCTAAGCATGTACCCTTAATAAGCCTCCTCTTTTATTCTGTTGAAGATGCGTATCCAGACTCATCAAGATACATCCTGGCCATACACTGCTAATAATAGCTTGATACGGTAACCCTCCTCACAAATGAACATACATCCGAAAACGTTCGTAATACTCCTCCCAGGATCCGAATCTCTCCCTTCTAATTGAACACAAGTGCTTGATAAGAAAGATCAACAAAAACCTTCACACGAGGAAATAGCCTTCAATCCATCAGTTAAAACCCCATCACCGGAGCTTTCTCTCACCCTAGATTACTCCGATTTCCAGCTTCGAATGCACCACTAACCTAGAACGCACAGCAAAGTGTATCAAGTGCAAAAAAATGCAATACCCACATCTCGAAATAAGACGAGAGCACTAATTCGCGGCTCAAGCTCCAACTCCAATAACCATGCCGCGCAGGGAGCGGATCGAAACCCACAAACGCAAAACCCAGAGCAAAGCCCAACATTCACCGAAGTAATGACACCTCACAATGCTCGATCTACTGCCCACTGCTTCAACAGCAAGTTTCTTCGATTCCATGCAAACTTATTCACAATGGAGGACAACCGTTCGAGTGAGATCGCAAATGCCGGGATTGGGGTTGGAAATGGTTTTCCGAAACATTGACTCTTGCTCAAGAAACCAGCCGGTGAGGCCGTTCGTCGCCACCGGATTTAGCCGGTAACCTCATCTGGCTCACCCAGTCCGCTCATTCATTCATCGCCCACATCGAATAGTTGCGTTAGGGTTTGCGACAAGTGTCTAATTCTTTCACGGATTTGTGTGTACACTGATCTCTTCACGAATTTTTCTGTACATCGATCTCTTTATGCATGTACTCCTTGCGTCAGGATCCTGCACCGATTGATCTATGCTGTATAGAAAGAGTCAGCAGATAGACGAGGCTGAGCTTACGGAATTTCACACTGCTGTCGAAGATCCATGCCTGAGTTAATTAGGGATGTACATTTTAGCTTCACAAGCTAGGATACTTACTCAAGTTTCATGGAAAATTCTTAAACCTTGAAGCAGCGAGTAGTGATTCTGTTCAGGTAGTCTCATTAATTTGTACAGTTTACAGAATGACATGTCGAGATGTTGAGAATATAATTATAGATGCATTCTGTGGCTTGTAGCCCGTAAATCCTTTATTTTTTCCGACAGTCTTTTAAAGTGATTTGCGATTCATGTTCTCATTGCGGACAATTGTAGAAAACAATGGTAATTGGAAAGTATTACACTGTATTTGGTCTTTGTTGCAAAGCTTTTTGCTCCGACAATCAGTCACCGTTTATCTACATACGCCTTCTAATTATGTCCATATGCATGTTAAACTGCTGAGCTCGTAAGCAGTGTGTGTGGAAGATGAAGTGGTCCTCCCGTCACCGCCTTTAGCAAGTGTTATTGGTACGTATTCCATGGTTAAGTCGCCCTTAAATGGACTTGTACATTTTTTTGACTGCATTAGTCTTCTGGAATGATCATTTGAAACTTCGTGCGTGACTGATCGTTATCGAGGCACTTGTGAGGTTCTCAGTTTAAGGTGGCAACGTAAGTTTTATGCACAGCATCTAACATAGTCACCTGCTCCAAACTTAGTCTGTACAGATTAAAATAATGCTCTAAAAAATGATTCACTAAGTCATCCTATCAATTTTTACATGATTTTGCAGATTGACTAGACGGGCATAGACGCTGCCAGGTCTTGCAATCAGGTTTTCATGGGTATCTTCTTCAACGATTTCACCATCTTGAATCACAGCAATGCTGTCCGCGTTCCGGATAGTTGAGAGTCGATGTGCCACGAGTACAGTCGTTCTATCCTGAGGATGTTACCAAATGGTCTAATGAGAAATTCCAAACCACGAAACTTTGCAAACGCACTGCACCCATCAAACAGGATATTAACTTTATGGAATCCGAAGCAGGGGAATGGAGATAGTACCAGCATTAATTGATCCAAGGCGTCTTGGACAACCATCTCAGACCCGGCATCCAGCGCGCTTGTGGCTTCATCCAGGAGCAAGATAGCAGGATTCTTCAAAATTGCTCGAGCAATTGCTACCCGCTGTTTCTGGCCTCCCGAGAGTTGGATGCCGCCTTCTCCAACCTGAGTATTGTAACCATCCGGCAGCGCACTGATGAAGTTGTGTGCATTGGCTATTTTGCCAGCTGCGTAAACCTCTTGCTCGGAGGCAATGCTGTCACATCCGAAGAGTATATTCTCAAATATTGTTGTGGCGAACAGCGCAGGTTCTTGTGAAACAAATGCAATCCTTCTCCGTAAACTCTTTAAGTTTACTTTTCGGATATCCTTGCCGTCGATGAACACACTCCCGGAGGTTAGATCGTAGAATCTTTCCAAAAGAGCGATGACTGAGCTCTTTCCGGACCCGCTTGGTCCGACAAGAGCCAAGGACTTGCCGGCCTTCACCTCCAGGTTCAAGTCTCTGAAGATCTGCACATCTGAACGAGAAGGATACGAGAAAGATACATGATGGAATTTTATGTCGCCTCTGACGGTCTCTATAACCTCGGCGTTGGGATCGACAGTGTCAATCTTGGTGCGGCGGTCGAGGATGGCGAATACAGACTGTAACGCTTGGCTTCCCTTGGCTGCATCTGGCAACAATGCTAGAGCATCCGCAATCGAAAACGCGGAGATGCTGAGGACCAGGAAGGTTTTAATGATTTCATCGAAGCTTGCTTCGTCTTTTCCTATCAGCTCGCCTCCATACCATAAGCTGAGTGCATAAGACCCGTACAAGCATAGCTGGGAGATTCCAAAGCTGATTCCTGCAACCTGCAATGTGCCAATTATCTCAAGCTCTCCGTTCGAGCTTCAAGTAATTGGAATTTTAAGCACGTTCAAAATAGTGATGGTAGACGAAAGCTTGTGGAAGGAACACAGCTGATACCTGTCCGCGCCAAGAACTTCGCTCCAAGGGTATTGCAAGCTCGTGTCGAAAGAGGTTCATGACACAGTCCTCAGCGTTGAATGCAGCAACAGTGCGGATGTTGCTGACGGCTTCCCCGGCGATCATGCCTGAGCGAGTATGCGCGGATGCAACATCCTTCGAGTACCCTGCCAAGATGATTCTCTACTCCAAGGTTCAAGAATGTACATGTTAGGTCAAGATGATCACATTAGAAATACGGACTAGTTCTTTGTAGTCGGGTTCTGGTCACCTACCTGGCAGATATTGCCGAACAGGAGGAGCGGAAATATGGCGAGCATTACTAATGTCATCTTCCATTGAAAGGTGAAGGCAATGACGCACGTTGCCAGCATACAGCTGAAACTACTGATCATCAGGGAGATGCGATCTCCGACAGCACCTTTGACTGTTGTAGCGTCTGTTGACAGGCGAGAGCACAACTGCGAGCTGTTGTTCCCATCCAGATCGAACCAGCTTATCTCGTTCTTCGAAATGTCTGCAATGTTTGCATCTCAATTGGTTGAAGAGAATTGTCAAACAGAAGTCGCGGAACGTCATTGTAAATCAGAATTCGAGGAAAAGTTCTCAAAACTCACTCTCAAACGTTAGTTCCCGGATACGCTTAAGCAGGTTCTCTCCCATGATTCCAAAGAAAGAATGTTGCGCAGTGTAGCCGATTGTTGCAACTCCCGCCACGCAAATCATTTCGACTGCATCCTTGCCAATGTTCTTCTGCATCCGGTGTTGATCAGGGTCATAGAAAGAGAATAGAACATTAGACAGGATTACACCGAAGAGTGGATTAATTAGCCCAGCGATAACTGACCCAAGGGCACCGAAAATCCCCTAGCACCACTCTGGTCTGTTCAATTTGATAACGCGCCACAGGGTCATCTCCCGGTTTGAAGGTGGGAAGGCGGCCATCGCCCATTCAGTCACTCGAGAGATTGGCAACGCAGAACCACATTTTTTAGCATTATACAAATTTGAATCAGTTGGGGAGGAACTATTGCTAAATGTGTCGCTGGGTTTGCCCATCTGATTCCCTTGGAGTTGGAAGAGGGAGAAATAGGCGCCCTGCTTCTCCAGTAAACTTTGATGATCCCCCATCTCCACTATGGTACCTTCTTGAACAACGGCGATGATGTTTGCGTTGCGGACAGTTGATAGGCGATGGGCAACGCTGACTGTGGTTCGGCCGACAACCACTTTGTCCAGCGCCTCTTGCACCAACCTTTCTGAGGATGCGTCCACTGCACTAGTTGCTTCATCAAGTAGAAGAATCCTTGGTTTTCTCAGGATGGCTCTTGCAATCGCGATGCGTTGCTTTTGTCCTCCCGACAGTTGAACACCGCGCTCGCTAACCTGAAAGAGGCAGCCAGATTGAATCCTTTCAAGAAAACAGACCTTGAGAAGCAGGTAATGTAAGTCCATGGATTATTTGCTTCCAACAGCAAGTCTTCGTTTCACACCTGAGTTTCGTAAGATTCTGGAAATGCTGATATGAAATCATGAGCATTTGCCGCAATGCAAGCTTCTTCGATGTCCCTCTCTGTTGCATCTGGTTTACCTTAGAGTATGTTTTCCTTGATGCTTGTGGCAAAGAGAGCAGGCTCCTGGCTCACTAACCCAATCTGTCCGCGGAGCCACTTCAAAGGCAAATTCTTGAAATTGACTCAGTCTAGAAGCAGTCCACCTGTATTAAAATGATAGAGTTCCGATTTCAGTCTTGGATATCATTTAAAATAAGGTTGTGCAAGAACAGAAGTTCAGTAATTATGAAACAAATATCGCTCATGAGGATTGACACGTATAGGATTTCGATCGACCTCAGTTGGGATCATAGAAACGTTCTATTAAAGAAAGCACGGTTGATTTGCCTGCTCCGCTCCTCCCAACAATGGCCACCGTCTTCGTTGCAGGAATGTTAAGTGAAAAGTTCCGCAGCACAATTTACCCTGGTCGAGATGGGTAACAAAATTCCACATTTTTGAACTCAATGAGGCCTTGAACAAACTCAAGCTCTTTTGTTGATGCTGTCTGGAGGTCAATTTTAGGTTTCCGAGCTATCAGCTTAAACATCTTGAACGCGGCAGCTTTTGCTTTCGAAAACACCGGCACGCTCAACATCGCCTGCCCCAAAGACCTGCACAAGCACGAAATCTTGAGGATCTTCGAACTACCATTTGTAAGTATGTCGGTGTTGATCACTGTATAAGCACATAGGTAAGATGTTCTTACAATGATGCAGTACTGATGCTAAAGATAGTGGCCAACGTTTCTCCGCCGTTGGTTTCGCCATGGCGAACGAGCACACCAGCATACCAAAGGAGAAGCGCCCAGCAGCTGGTTACCACAAAGAATGATGAACCCATGCCAACCCCCTTTGCGATGCCTCCCTGATACCCCAGCTTCAAGGACCTCTGCAGACACGCCGAATATGACTTGGCCGCCTTCTCTTCGTTCACGAATGAATGCACAGTGCGGATTTGTGCAATGCTCTGTCTTGTCCAAAAATTTCATTGCAATTTTTTTCCAAACGTTAGTATAGATGTTCAGGAGTTGATTCGAAGACGTGCATGCTGCTTTGAAGATGTACAAGTTGCAATTCAGCCGTACCTGTTCAGCTATTCTCCCCGCCTCTGCATACGCTTGCTGATCTTGGAAGTGATCCCAGTCAGTGAAGCAGCGTAAGCCACCCCAATGAGTGCAATGGGGGGCAAGACACCCAGCGTAACAAGGGAGAGCTTCCAAGTTGCGGAGAACGCAACAGCGAAGCCGCTAATGAAGGTACAGGCGTATTGAACGAAGTTTCCCATCTGCAGTAATTGACAAATTAAATCACAAGCTCTAGGTTTCTGGGATCCAGAACTGAAGATCATGGTTGAAGCGCTCGGTTATCAGAAACGAGTGAGAACATTCCGATAGGACCCCAGCTTTGGAATTGAGTTACCTTCTCGCCAATCGCATCTTGAATGTGAAGAGTGTCGGAGGAGATGCTACTAACTATTTCACCCGTGTGGACGTCGGTGTCAAAGAAGCTCACGTCTTGCTTCAGAATGGCTTGTAAGTAGCGGACACGGATGCGAGCAGCTTGTCGCTCGGCTGTTTGCATCCATGCTGCCACCTCTGCACTATGATGATCGACAAGCAAGGCCCATGTCCTTATGCCAATGTTGAAAATAATTTATCTAGATACAATATATGGAGCAGAGAGTCTCGGATCTTTTTAGAGAGGGGGTGTAGAGTTAAGTTTTTGCATGCAATCAGTGTACATCTTTGTGAAGGAACTCCAGATGATGCGAGAGAACTCTCAACAATTTGTGTGCATACAAATCATTGAGAACGGAACTAAAAGACAGAGTGGAGATGGACTGAACTGCACCTGCCCAAGATGCGATGCAAACCGCGAGGCCGGTAAAGCAAAGGTACATTACGTTCTGGCATCTCATGATCATTCACACAGTCAGAAGTTGCAGCCCTCCTAATATCAAACAGCAGCCAACATTAACGTCCAAACCAATCATCTAGGATTCATGCACCAGCCTGTGAACGCTACCTGATTTATGATTTCTATCATCTTGCTGGGATTGCTGGCATTGGCACCGAATCCATCCAAAAGCTTCCCGAAGAACAAGAAGTAAATGGGAAGGCCACACCCATGGATGACAGCCCCCACCGTGCCGATGAAGAGCAGGAGGCAGTCGATGGCATCAGCGAAGGCGAAGAGCTGGATGACGGATATGGTCTGCACCTTCTGCTTCATTTGCACATTGGGTCGTGTGATTGCGAGGAATCGACCCCCTTCAGCTGTTTGAACTTTGGCCCTGCTCCATCCTCCACATTGTGCGCGCTCCGAATGTGGTGCGGGTTGCTCATCTCTTCCACCCCCCATGCTAGCTGGATTACCCCTTTCACGACAGTCGCTGTAGCTGCTGCCCTGCAGGTTGGTTCCGGCAACTATTCTTAAGCTTTTGGCTTCTTGGGATCAAGGGGCTTTGCGGTATATATACTAGTTCACTCAGCAACTGATTTCTACTGATGATAACTTCCGTCACAAAGTTGTCTTGTGGAGACTCTGTCAACTGGGTAGAGAAGTGTTGGAACTGCAGGGAACGTCATCATATGTTTGCGTCAATTTTTTCCTTTTCGATGAAACCCTCTTACATTTAATCTTCATTGAATTATTAGATTAGCCTGTCACCTTCTCACTGAGTGACAACAAAGAGCATCATGACTGCAGTCACACCAGCCGAATGCCGTCATGCGAATTACAAGATCTGGTAAAAGCAAGCGATTCCAGACCCCTCTTGGTCAGAACCATTGCCTCTTGCTCAAATGGGCTTGCTGATCACACTCCCCACCTTCCCATTGTTGAGTAGCAGAATGTAGACCTTTTAAACAGGCTTACTGTGACAGTATTAGCATTTGTACTTGTTGGCAGGTGTTTTTTCTTCACATAATCGTACTTTCATCCTATTTTTATATGAGTATCATCCTTAAACTGCTTGAAGAACTTAAATCACTTTTAACATAATCGTATTTTCATCCTATTTTTATATGAGTATCATCCTTAAATTGCTTGAAGAACTTAAATCACTTTTAAGTATGTTGGTATGAAAAGATTAAAAGTGATTTAAGTTCTTCATAATCTTGACAGTGCTAGACTTCCTAGCATCCAATTGGTAACTAGAGTAATTTAGCCCAATTGGATGCTAGGAAGTCTAGCACTGTCAAGTATATTTGATGTGTTTATGTCAAACTTGCTAGCTAAATTAAATAAAAATCATAAATTATATTATATTAGTGCTCTATGGATTTGATGTGGTTATAAACCAAACAAACATCTACCTGAAGGAATGAGAGCAACAAACTTGCAATGTGTTCAGATACCAAGGATTTATTGACCAACTATTAAATGACTTTGTTGTCAGCATAAAAGCAATGTAATTTTTTTATAAAAGTTTATTGATATTTTGCAAAGTGTAAAATGATTTTGAAGTTTCACTTGAAAAATAGGACATGGTAAAATTAATCCAAGTTTCATTTGATTGTCTATAAAAAAATAAATAAAATGATTTTAATTTAGGGGAATGTTAAGTAGACCCAGGCTTTTACTAAATTGACTAACCCATCCTAGCCATCATAAAAAAATAAAATAAAGTAAAATAACCTCTAGATTTATTTTTCCACTACTAGATCTGAAACCATTGAAAATCAACCATATTCATCATGATAACCATATTCTTCATCATGGGTAGGTTGGTTTAGTAAAATTTGGGTCTATTTAACATTTTCCTTCATTTATTTGAAAGATATTCTTCAATTTGATAATCTTAACATGGAGTAATTTTTACTAAAAATAAATATACTATATATTTGACATATAAAGATGTTAGTAAGATTTTTATTAACTAATTTTTAAAATTATATTAATTTTCTTTTATTTTATTATATAGATTATACTCCACAAAGTTCGTTCTTGAGAATAAGGATTTTTTAGTAAAATATCTATCTATGAAAATATTTTATATTATTTAATTTTTATTCTAATTTTAAAAAATAAAATAATAATAACATTATATTTTAATTTTTTGTATGAAAAATAAATATATTATATTCATAATAGATAAACTTATAGATGATATGAAAAATTCTATAATCTACTACTATTTTTTCATAAAAATTTAATTTATTTTTTTATAATATAAAGATATGATAAATATAACTACTTATTATTAAAAAAAAGTTTTTTGATTAGTAATATGTATAAAAGCTATTTATAAAAAAATTGGATAAGAAAATAAAATAAAGTGTTTGATTATTTTTAACCAATTAGTTTTATAATATATGCGAAAGTAAAGATATTATACATTGATAGCATGGACCTTTATATATATTTCGAATATTTGAAGGTTTTTTATTGCTTTTATCTACAAATCTTATTATTGACCTTCTGAGTTCTACCATAAAGGACTTTATTTGAGTGGTGGTTGTATTTTTAATTAAGTTGACATATTTGATTTTGCATAATAAGAGAATAATTAGAAAATAAATTTCTAAACTTTCTAAACATAATATTTATTAGACTAATAAGTTTCTTGATTAAAATATGTTTTTAATAGAATAGGTAACTTGTTTCTAAACTTTGGGAGAAGTTTATTTAAATCCTAGATATAAAATTTAACATTACAGTAGTACACTACTTTAAAACTAATTGCAAAATGAGATAAAAAAATAAAAACCTTTTAATTGTAACTTTATTAAGTAAAATATCAATCATATAATTATATCGACATTTATTACTCACAAAAACTTCTATTAAAGATAAAGTTATTTTATAAAATATATAATTTTATATTTTCATAGATTATAGATTATAACACAAAGTATTATATTTTAAGAGAAATTAGTAAAAAATTTGCAGGAAAAGAATTAGCTATTTTAATTTGTTAAAGTTTAAGAATAAATGATATTCTAATAATAATAAATTATTTTAAAAATTAAAAAATAGAAATAATTTTTAAGATGACAGTAAATTATTAATTTTTATCTGAAATTAAAAATATTTTTAAACAAAAAAGTTGTTGCAAGACTTTACAATAAAATAAATATAAAGTTTATATTTATTTTATAAATAAAACTAAAATTTATATTTATTTTATAAATATAATAATTATAAGATTTTACAATGAAATTATGTTATAATTTAATATTAATATTTATTTTATTGAAAAATCAAAATAAAATTTCTACTTGAGAGAAATATTTTTTACCATTCTAGTTAAAACGATATTCAAATCAAATACTAATTTGAAGTTAAATTAATTCTCATCAAGAAAAGAATATTTAATCGAATTTATATATTAGAAATAGATAAATATGTTTTAGAATATTTTCTATTATAAATAATTAATATTTTAAATTTTCTTCTAAAAATCAAAAAATTACTAGTAATTATTATATGATATAAATGAAGAAATTCAATTCAATTTTTTTGAAAATGTAATTGTATAAAAGATTAGAAAGTCAAAAAAAGAATTTTTTTTGTAGTAATTTAGATAGTATAATATTAGAATCTTAAAAAATTATTTTTTTAACATTGTAATTAATATAAACAGAGAAGATTTCAAAGTTACTCTTACTTTCGTGAATTCCTTCTTTAACTTATATTTCTCTTGTTATTTACAAGTATTTATGTATATGGAACATGTGATGTACATTGGCATAAGTTAAAAATTTATAAAAATCTAAATAAATAAATAAATTTTACTTCTACAAAATTATTATAAAATATAGAAATTGCTAAGTAGAAACCCTCTACTTATTGCATGGATATCCTTCCATACCATGCACCTTTGTATACACATAATAAAACTCTTATTTATATCAAAAAAAATTAGAATAAATTTAGAATAAAATATTCTTTTGATGAAATTAATGAGTTTTTTAAAATTAATGAAAGAATTTCATAAATTTTATTATAATATTTTTAAAATTTTAATCAGAAAATAAAAGTTTCATAAACCATTACACACAAATTATTTACCATAATTTTGTTCTAAATTTTTTTAGTACAAATAAGAATTTTATTGTGTATACGTAGGGATGTGTGACTTGGAGGGTGTCTATGCAAGAAAAAGGGTTTCCACCTAGTCGTTCCCTAAAAAATAATTTAAATCATTATAAAATATATTTTCAATTTATATTCATATTTTTAACTTATAAAAATCAGATTTATTCTAGAAAATAATAATGCAAAAAATATATAATTATCAATGCATCTTTATTTTTTAAAAATGACCAAATGATAATTATCTTTAATATCAATCAAAGTTAAAATAATACTTTATACTTTAACCTTATTCTTGTAAATTTCTCCTAAACTTTATCTGAATATTGCACAAAAGAATAAAAATGAAAACAAATATAGACAGATAACTATGTTTTGTTCTTTTGTTTACATCAACTTTCACATCAAGATGTGACAAGTGTTTTGTCCATCATTGTAGACATGTCATGACATTATGATGCTAAAACTTAACATCACATCATGATAGACAACCTTAATTTTTCACAATTTTAATATCCTTGATGCAATACCACTTAATCATGTCTTCACTTTTTGTTTTTACAATAAAACATTCTAGATTCAACTTTACCCACATGATTACACTAAATTCTCATTCCATGAAAATTGTGTAAGGTTTGTATTTGAAACAAGCATGGTGACATCAAGAGCATGATAGAGACAGTAAACAAGCTCTTTTTGCAAAGATTATGAAAATAAATTACCCATTTTTTAAAACTCAGTATCAAAATTGCATTAGGAAAATTCTAATCATCAAACCGAACTTGGTAGTATGACCTAATCTCCATTCTAACTGCATGTCATGATAAATGAGAGTCTCTACAAAAACATTCATTCTATCTCTTGTCTTCTTCTCTTTTCCTTTCTATTTTCAACATTCTGTTTTCAAGGGAGCTTTCTCAACAATTACCAGGTGATTAGACCCACAATTGCCAAAATCTACTACCAAATCAATGGGTCCCAGTCAAGGGTTTCATTAGAAAAACCAGCAAATCAAATCAAGGATGCACATTTTCTCCCCCACATGACAGTGAAAAACTCACATGATACACACATTGCACCACAACTTTCTGCACACAAAATAATTCCAACATAATAAATGCAAGCAGTGGGTGGCCTTGAGAACCACTATAGAAAAACCTGGCCCACAAAACCCCTAAAAAACCCCATAAAACTCCACCCAACATGTGCCTGTCTACACCATATTTACACACCCATTTCACTACAGCAGAAAGTGGTCCATTCTGAGTTGGTCAAAAAGGTGAAAGACTTGCTGGACAGGCACTTCTTCTGATAGAAAATTGCAAGTTTCTTAACACCCCTGCTCTTTTTTTGTCTATGAGTGTGTGTGTTTGTTTTATATTTTATTATTTTATGGTTTTTGTGTTCTTCAGTCTGAGAACTCGCAACACCGTTGTCATACATGATGGGGGTAGTCAGGCTGATGCCGACATGGGAGTTCATTCCCAGACGCATCTGAAAGGGCATTGGCCTGCAACTAAATGCTATGCTCCGTTGATTTTGTTGTCTATTCTTACAAAATTGCAGGGATGCCGCTCAGTGACCTATCTGACAGTACTCGCTGCAATGGTTTCCTTGTTGAAGGTGATGGAGCGAGACACCTGACAAGCAATGCATTTGCGAGTGAGTGAGTGAATGAGTGAACGAGCTTCGGGTGGAGTGTGGGTGGACGGGGGTGCTCCTCATTTCGCAGCGTCCGTTGTTGAATGCTCTCGTTGTGTACTTCCAGTTTCCTGCACTCTTGATAGGGATCTGAAAGCAGTTCCACTATGATTATCTTACACGTTGAACGTGCTCAGCTTGTGCAGGCCTATTTCCACCCCCCTTCGATAGTGAATCGGATCTGCATTCACTCTGTGGTTTAATGGAAAATGGATCTTCGCCGAGTGTGTGTCGAGAACGATCCCACTACAGTCTGAATCGTTAACATCTACTAAACTCGTAGGTTGCTAGTTTCTATTCCAATGGTGGTTTTCGCAAATGAATGAAACTTCCCGATGGCGCATCTGTTACTGTTCCTATCTGGCCCACCACATCTGAGTTCTCGTCATGAGACATGATACTAGTGTCGGTGAACTTCCCACTTCCGGCTACCTGAAACTGAAGTCCAGCCATAAAAATCTCGTACACTCGGTGAGATTCGGAGAAACTAACATCACTAGATTTGTGGCTTTCCAACAAGCTTCGACAGCCTCTCTAAAAACACATTAATTGAGGATCAGACCTTCACTCTAAACATGCAACTTCATGAATGGGATATCCCAACTGCAGTCATTAATTAGACTTGAGCTGTTGGCATCTGTTAATTAATAAAACTCATGCCATATTCAAGTCTGAAGTGGGTCATAGAAAGCATGTAAATTCTTAGTGGTAAGCTTGCTGACATGCATGCCATGACCCACAGAACTTGAACCTGGCATGAGTTTATTAATTAAGACTCAAGGAAGTATCAGTGGAAATCGTGTCATGAGCACATCCATTAAATTTTGACTTTGTTGAATCTATTTTTTTGGTTTTGTTGAGGTTTTCTGAATTATCATGGTAAGCCAGTTTTAGTATCATTGTCCATCTTAAATATTTTAGTCAGTTTGACACCATGTTGAATGATACAGGTTATGAGTATATGATACAAGTTATGAATCTATTACAAGTTTTTTTCAAAAAAAATAAGACATTACACTTTGTTGAAATATAAAGTATGGCACAATCTGAAGGAGAACTTAATCAACCCACAATGAGGAAAATATAATGCATTTGGAAAAAAATTAAGTTTGGTTTTGAAAGTAACTTGCACAACATTGTCTTTGACAGGTTGGCAACAATGTTGTAAAGGAGAGTCTTTTTAAGCAGTGCAAAGTTGTTGGATATAATCTGTATGTTTTCATAAATGAATAAAACTAAAATCTAATTTATCTTCAATAACAAGATGTTTGTTCAAAAGAAAGATGGAAAAATTACACCAAACCCAAGAATTTAACATGAAAAACTTTTCAACATATACCACCACTTTGTTACAATTAAAGATGCTAATAACTAACTTAAAGTGCCTTTAAATCAATATGTTTATATTACAATTAAAGATGCTAATAAATAAATAAATCTAATAAAAAACTAACTTAAAGTGCCTTTAAATCAATATGTTTATACAATTACAATACTGTTTACTTTAATATTTTAACAAAAATATGTAATAATATAATCATACATTTATGATTATTTTACTTATCTTTAAGCAGTTAAATATAAAACTAAATTACACCAACAACGAAACTATTTAGCTATTTTTCTAATTTTTTTCTTTCAATCTAAAGACTACAACTATGAATACAATCTATTTGATTCAAAATAACAATATTAAATTTCTGAAGAGGGTAAGTAAATAATCCACTACAAATACAATGAATCGACTAGTTTTACAACAACATTAATAAAACCAAAGAAACATTTATATCTACTCAAATTACTATATATATATATATATATATATATATAAGTATATTAATCAGTCTTTCCTAGTTAAAATTCTCCTTCCTATTAAAAAGTGACAAAAAAGATCTTTGAGAAAAGCACTGTTCGAAGAAAGCTACAAGCATTGAAAATGCCCTCGACGTGAATCCTGAGTAAATTTTACAACTTGTCACAAGAAGAGCAGAAACTTTGTTCTTCTTTGCAAAAAGAAAGAAGAAAGAATTGGGTCAAATTTGTCACTACAAATCGATTGCAAATGATTTGGGTCCTACATCCTTTCTCATGTGCCCTAATCTACAAGTGCTTTACAACTCTTCGTGTCTCTTTTGCAATTGCAAATAAACTCTCGGTTTGGGTCACGTCGATGCTGCCGACGAGAGCCCGCGACTGCGGCGGCGGCGACACCACAGCTTCGATCGACGATGCCGAAAAAGCATAGAGTTTACTAGATCCACCGTTGGGTCGTTGACATCAGCCCCGCTGCAACGACCGAATCAGCGAGCCAAGTCTTGAAGAGTCTGCGCGATCTGAAAGAAATTGGGGCGATGCGCGGGATTGGCGACCCAGCAGCAGTCCATGAGGTGCTGCAGAGCGGAAGGACACTCAGCGGGGATGTGCGGCCTCAGATTCTTGTTCACAACCGCGTATGCAACCTGTACAGGCGTCATGTCTTGGAACGGGATCAACCCGGTGACAAGCTCCCAGAGAATTATCCCGAAGCTGTACACGTCCACCTTCTTGGAGCAGTGCTGGTGGCTGATCATCTCGGGAGCCATCCAGCGGTACGTGCCCGTGTCGGCACTGTTGGAATCGCATTCCGTTTCGAGGCATCCGACGCCGAAATCGGTCAACTTGAGATGGAGATCGTCGGTGAGGACGATGTTTTCTGACTTGAGGTCGCGGTGAACTACTCCTTGTGAATGCAAAAATTCCATTCCCTTGGCTATATCCAGTGCCATGGACAACATGGTTTTGTACGGGAGTGATCCTGATTCTTTCTTGTGAAGGAAGGCTCGCAGGGAGCCGCCTGGAACGTACTCCATGATCAAGCAACACACGGGAGGTTTCCACGATGCAGCTACAAAGGTTACGATATTGGGATGATGCAGCTGCGACAGGTTGTGAACTTCCTGAATGAACTGGCGTTCCAACTTGGTAGCGGTGGCGGAATTCTCATACCTGTCTATCATGAGAATCTTCACAGCCACGACTTGGTCCTTGTACACGCCTCTGTAGAGCCGGGTGTGATTGCCGGACGCGAATTTCTCTCCCAAGAATAGTGAAGACAAATCACAAAGATGGTCCTCCGTTACCTCAAGTTCCAAGTGTGGAGTTTCCTCTTGTGAGGCCTCGACGAAGTGCGCCCATGACTCGGGTTTCTTCGTGTCGGAAAATTTAACGTTCTTCCGATGTCTAGATGTGGGCTGAGGGTCGATGCTCTTAGCCCTCGCCAAGGATTCTTCAGTGCTTTTCTTTTTCCTCAACCAATGATGACTTCCTCTCTCAGCACTGGGTTCATCTGTTCTCGTCCTTCCGGGTGAATCTCCTAGCTTCGGACTTCTCTCTAGCGACCTGGACTTTCGTACTCTCCCCAACTCTGCCACATGGTCATCTTCAACCTTCACAGTGAAATGAATCCCCAACGGAATGGTTTTTGTGTTGTGACGAAACCCGAAAAATGCCAGCTTTGGATGGAATCCGTGGCCACCGACATGCAGTTTTCCAAGCCCTGTCCCATATTGAACTGGCTCCGCAGTAGTCACTTTCTCCCGGTGCTTCGCCATCGTCTGAACCAGTCGTTCAGTTGTCGATTGCAATCTCTGTTCTTAAGTTAAACCCTAACTGGCAACACTCATCGAAAATATCAAATCCTAAATTCAACTTTGCGATCACACCCGGCTCTACAGAGGCGTGTACAAGGACCAATTATGAGAAAACAGAAAACAAGATTCAAAATTTTAAGCGATTTCAACACAAGCGTCTTCACAAGAATACCACGCAACTCATCTTCTCCAACTCCGCTTCATCATCAGGGTTCCTCATAACCCAAAACTCCTCCCTCCGATCCAAAAACTCTGACCCGCTGGTAACTAAGAGCGCACTCATCTCTTCATGAGCACAAGAGTCAGAACTTGCCGAGTCTTGCCAGATCGATACCTTGCGTCTCAGAAAACTTCCCTTCGCGATCAGAAGTCTGCTCCTGATTTTGCCACTGTATCGAGTATCAATCCGTTCAACTAGGATTTATAAAGGCTTCCAACCTAGTGTGGTAGCCCACATCCAGCATTCAACTAGTGCCAATTGGCATTCGACTCATCTCTCACACCGCGACAGCGCTTTGGCACCTAGTCATGAACTGCTGAAAGTTCCCCGAATTTCGAAGAACATTCTCAGGAAAATCCGATCTTTTGAAGAAGACAATACACACCAGGTCGCAACTCTTCGCCGCATACAACACAAACACCCTTGTGACATTTGGATGCAGCCACAATGCAACCTACCGAATCCCTCGAGGTTGACGGATGATAGTTCAGCCCGGGCGCGGAAAATCAACGCGACGGCCCCCTCATGAAACCAATTTCATTGCAGCATATCTCGTCAGCAGATGAAAGAATATTTTGCACGAATCAGGACCAAGTGCTGATGCCCCATCTAATTCTGCGGCTCATCTGCCATTTTTCCGTCGAACGGAACAAGATATCTCGCAATGGGTTTTCGCTCGACGGGGGAAAACTTTCAAATTCGCGTTGAGTTGACTTTGTGCTGGCCCCTCCCCCCACATTCACAAGTCCCTGCGATGGTCGGCGACCGTGAAAGTCTTCGGCGTTACTCATCGGACTCGCTGTTTTGACTTTTCCCTTACCATTTTTTCGCTTCTTTCTCTGCAACTTGTTTCGTTCCATTCGTCGCCGCGGCATTCAACGGGCAGAGCAAGTCCGAGTGATGAAGTCTGCTGCCACATTGACTTCGACTATGGCAATTAGTGAGGATTGAAAAATAGTGCGGCGAAACTAGTTCATGTGTAGCCAGATCAACCAGTTGCAATGTGTGATGAGCAACCGTCTTTGCAACAACAGCTGTTGCTGTAGTGTGTGCACTGCATTTCAATTGGTTGCGTAGAGTGATACTTGACAACATGTCATCTTTGCTATTCTTAATAGTTGTAGCTTGTGTTATAATTGCTTAGTATTGTAGCAAAATTTTGAAAGAGGGTTTTGAAAACATTGTTGTTGACTTGAATAATATATTCTTCATTCATATTATTAAAGTTTGGAGAAAAGATATTCCAATGAATTTGCATCATATTGTAATTCATCCAAAAATATAACAATCTATAATGAGAGAAAGAAGATTTACTAAGATATAAGAGAGAAAGATGAGATGGCATCATAGATACATCAAGACCACCTCCACCTTATTCTTTTGTATTTTTTTTTGTCTTATTTTATTATTTCTATACTTCACCCTTTCTACAACATTATTCTTAGTTAAAATAGAATAGAGAGAAATAAAAGTTTTGTGTGGCACTAGCATTGATGGTTTTTTTAAAGGAATCAACTATGTTGTTTCAAGTTGTAGTCAAGGTATTGACAAATTCAAAGTATGTTGTCTTTTTCTTAAATTATAACAGTTACTTCAAATTAAGAATCAAATACCTCTTATTTCCATTAGTAGTTATACTTTGTACAAATATGTAAAAAATGAAGGACTCAATTATAATATATTTATGTAGTTTTGATGTTTTGATTTCTTGAAAGTTTTGTATATTATATTTAAGATTTATTCAACTATATGAATGTGTAGAGAAGATCCAACAACTATCAAGTACTTTAAAAATTCATATTATACATCAACTTCTAATTTTTTTTAAAATTCTATATTTCTTACATAGACAAGAATTGTTTAAGTAGCAATATCATTCTTCATGAATTATATACAAATACATAATTTATTTTAATTTTTTCTCTTAATTAAAAATAGAAAATTTAAATATACTTCTTACTTGAATTTCTAAAAATATATTTTTTTAGTATAACAAATATGAATGCTCTATAAAAGTGACTATATTAAGGAGTAAAGAAATCCATATAAATGCTTGAAATTTCTAGAGCAATGCTATAAATTTCTAAAGCCAACTACAAAATTGTATGAATTGCACCAATAATTTGCTTATAGCGGTCATTGCTTCAACTATGTAGTCTATTTAGATATAAATCTTGATTGAAAATTTCATAAAGAAATGTTATTTTTTATCACTAGAAAATTTTATTTATTTAGCTTGCAATCAATTGATTTTATATATACTATTGAATTTTAAAGTTATTTTAAAAATATATAAAAATTCTAATTATATCAATAACAAGCTCATTTATTTTAGAAAATTAACATTAGTTCTCATGAAGTGAACATTACAACATAGAAGTAAGTAGCTAGAGTAACTAAGAATGTCTTAAAGGAATCAAAGGTGCAAGACATGCAAATAACTATAATGTTTGTTAACCAATCAAAATTTTAGATTGTAATATAATAAGAGATTACTAATAGAGAGGTTTGTAAATCATTATATTTTATGATGAGTCTATTTTAATTTGGCTCATTGCTTGTTTTGAATTTAAAAAAATACATATTTTTCATGAATAAGTTAGAAGTTATATTTAAAATAGAAATATTTTACATAATGATGTTATTAGGAGATGGTATTGATGCAATATGATATGTGTTGGATGTCTTAGAAAAATTTGTTATAATCACACACTCTATAAATCAACTCTATTTAAGCTCTCTTCACATCCATCTCTCTCCTTTCAACAATTTAATGAAAGTAGTAAGTTGTAATATATGTATTAATTTAATTTTTATTGCAATAATTATAAAAGTTCAAAAAGATTAAGTTTCCAAGGTGTAATGCATATTATAAGTGTAGGTCTCTAAGAAAACATCAACTTCTTCAATATGTTTTTAGATCTCATAGACAATTATTTGAACAATGTCACAATATTATTGTATTTTTTATTTTACTTATATTTCTGCAACATATGGAAATTGGAAATGATGTCAATTTTTTGGAATTAATTTATTTCATATATCTATTTATAGAGAAATCTAGATATGTTGCACCAAGAATAAGTTTATCAAAAATAATTTTATTATCAATATTGGTTTTATAGTCTAAAGAACATATTTGAGAATACTTATGCATGTCTCTATAAAAAATTTAAAAGCTTTTAGATAATATTGATAAGCATCCTTAGTAATATAATAAAAATATTAAACAATCATTAATATAATTTCAATTAGCTATAATATTTTTGTAATTTAGATGAGATGGAATTGTGGCATCTCAATAACATTAGTTCTATATCATATTAACTCATTTGATAGTGCAATGCATTACAATAGTATTTAGCATTGGTGTTAAAAAAATATAATTGTTTACAAATGGTGACATGATTATTATTTTATTGTTGAAGAAACAACTTTTAAGATGACCTAATGCAATGGAAGGATGTGCAATTGCAAGAGAAATGAAAAGTATAAATTAAAAATATAACTTTAGATTTTCTTAGGTAGTTGGCATTATGGATGGAAATTATATAATGTTGGGGCTTAAAGATTAACCAAATATAGAAATTATTACTATTAAAAGTATCATGCTATGATTAATATTATTATATATAATTAAGTTTAAAAAAATTATTTGCTCATTTTGGTTTTCTAATACCAAAACATGATAGTTGTATGTTTGTAAGCACAAAACTGTAGACAAGTTGTTCTAACTTCTTTCTAAACAACAAATTTTTGCTGATAAATAGTATTTTTTTTATTGTCTATTATTACTTTTGAACTATATCAACATTTCCAATTATTAAGAATTGAAAATAAAACATTTTACATAACTCATGTCACTATGCAAGTGAAAATTAAACATTGTACTAGACTACTAAAGAATTGTTTCTAAAATTTTTGAGGTTAACACATCCAAATTTAATATCAAATGAAGTTTTTTTTTTTTTTTTTTTTTTTTTTTTTTAACTCTATTTCAATTGATTCCTTGTAAGTAAATACTCTAATTATACTTGAAGTTCTGAATTTCTTTGTTCTAATTTTGATTGTCAAAATAATATTTTCTTTTCATTCAATTTTTTTTTTTTTTTTTTTGCTTTTTAAATATCTTTTGCATGTTTTACTAAGAAATTAATTTCTTTTCCTTCTAATCTATTATTTCTTTTGCATATCTTGCAAAGTAGCATGTGAAGTAGGCTTTTGTTTTGAAACTTTTCCAAAAAGAATTCCAATTGAATTCTGAAACCATAACATAATCATAATAAGTAAAATTTTAACTATTCAATTGAAAAAGTGGAATGGCAAATAAGCCCATATACTTTACTAAATTTACCAATGATGAAGAATATGATAATCATGAATGTGGTTGGTTTTTATTGGTTTTGGATACAGTAATGGAGAAATGAATGTAGAGGTCATTTTTTTTCATGATGGTGGGTCAATTTAGTAAAGACTTGGGTCTATTTTACATTCCCCTTAAAAAGAAATCCTTAAATAATGTACGAGAATTGAATAAATTTGATGCATGATTTTGTGATATTTTGAAGGGGGTTGAATTCCCAAGCAGACAAGTTTACACACCCAGTTTTCATAGTCATCATCCGAAGAGGAATAACCTAAAAATGAAGGGCTAAGCTGGCGCTTTGTGGAAAAGTAGACCCGGTGAGACTGCACCGGGTAGAGTGCGCCCGGCCGGACCCTACCCGACCCGGTCCGGCCCGTTCTGAGTCAAGCATCGTCGTCTTCTCGCTCTGCTCTGTGTCGCCAAGCCTGTGAAGCAATCGCAGTTTGAGCAAAGCCACGGCAACAATCGGGAATCTGTGTGTGTGTTTGTGTGTGCTTCTCAGTTCAGATCGAGGAAACTATTTTACAACAGGATTTGGGTAATTCGTTGAGGAGGTTAATTTGGAGGGCTTTGCGCGCATTGGGTCGGGGCATCATCATGTACACAGGAGGAGGCTATCTGCCACCCAGGTTTACGCAGCCGCAGGAAGCGGATGTTGCTGAGGAGGTGGCTGTTTCCAGTCGCATCGTAGAGGCTGAAGGCAGTAGCTTGCCAAACGTGTTGATAACAAATGACGATGGGATCAACGCCCCAGGATTGCGTGCTTTGGTTGCTGCTTTAATCGAGGATGGGAGCTGTCATGTTTTCGTCTGCGCACCGGATTCGTAAGTCCCTTCCTCTGTGGAATTCGAGAGGGTTCTAGATATACTAGAGTCAAGGATGGCAGAATATGGCAGGAGGGCTGGGTGGGGGGTTTAACATCCAGGATTATCCTTTTTTCGCACTTGTGTGATTGAATTTTTACGGTGTTGTTTCCAGTTTCAAGTGAAAGTTGATAGGAACGACAAGACATGTTCTTGATAAATTTTCTGTCGAATTCAGACGCTACACGATCTTATCGTAATTGCCATGATTTTTGTTGCAGGGAAAAGTCATCCGTGTCTCATAGTATTACACCTAGGGCTATTTTAGAAGTTGCTTCTGTGAACATTCCGGGAGCCACAGCATTTGAAACCTCTGGTAAGTTCTTGGGAGGTTTTTTCTTTTTTTTGCGCCGGCGTCGTAGTTGCTGATTATCATAGCCTTGAAAAGATTCTATTTTGAAAACATGGTTGGTATGTTTCAGCCTTACCGCATCAAGAATTCTATTCTTATTTCTTTTCGATCTGTTTGAAGATTAAGTGGGAATCAGTACACATGAACGCCTATATTTGCACCATTGAATTGTATGTAATGCGTTGGTAGTGATGTATTATTCATCTCAGCACTGCTTATGATAATCCGTCGTTGTCCTGCACAGGAACTCCAGCTGATTGTGTTTCTTTGGCTATGACGGCGTCTATTTTTCCATGGACTAAACCCACCTTGGTAATATCAATTTTTTCTACCATTCAACGAAGTTGTGGAGTTTTGTCGTAGACCTCTTGGAGTATATTTACACTGTCGAGCAGAAATCCCTGCCAATAATGCACATGTTCAGAGTCTTTCGATCAGTTCAATGGCAGATGACCATGTTGCCACGAGGATAAACTAACGTCTCAACGGTGTTGGACATTCAGGTCGTCAGTGGTATTAACAAGGGCTCCAACTGTGGTTATCACATGTATGCCCTTTTTATTCTTGCTGTGCTTTCAACCTTGCTTCTTAGAAATGGTCACCAAGTGCTCAGGATGCATCTTTTTTTTTTCTGAGATGTCTTGTTGTGCTCCTATGTATGATCATTTATAGTAGTTATCTTGAGGTGGAAGAATACAACACAACCCTGGATGGAAAGGTGTGTTGATCCTATTACAACGTTCAGGAATATTGTTCAACTGTAGAGGTTGTATATATTAATTACGAGGACTGAGAGTGAGATGATATGTGCAGTTTCTATTCAGGTACAGTAGCAGGAGCACGTGAAGCATATATTAGCGGTGTACCAGCGATTTCAATTTCACTAGACTGGTACATCATGATACAAAATTTCTTTTATCTTGTGCGAATTTCCTATGTTCTTGTATGCGAGCTGAATTTAACATTATTGATTTTTTCGACAATGTTGATGTTTCATGTGTGGATCTGGTTTACTGAAGGGAAGATTTTGAATCCGCTTAGTAATACCTATCCAGGTCTTCGCTGACGTCTTTTGTACATCCAGGAAGAGAGGCAAGAGCAGTGATGACGATTTTAAATCAGCGGCAGCTGTGAGTCTTCCTTTAATAAAAGCTTCACTGCGAGACATTCAGGGAGGAGTATATCCTAAAGGCTTCTTCTTGAATGTTGATTTACCTGCAAGTCCATCGGAGCACAAGGTAAACTTACTTACTACTGCTAACTCACTTTACACCATAAGTATCTGTACATTGTTCCAAGCATAAGCAATGTTTATTATCTTGTCAAGAATGCAGGCGCTTGATTTATCATGGTAGTTACGTTCTACAAAAGGTCTGATTTCTGTCACAGCCTCCTCCTGTTGGATATGGATAACATGAAATTTTGTTAGGTCTTTAGTGTTCATTTTAAGAACAAGGGACACGAATCCTGTTCGTGCTGTGAGGTGTATCTCAGTTACATGTGCAGTCTTTCTGTTTAGAGCCTCATCTAGTGGGGTCATGAATCTGGCAGGGGTACAAGGTGATAAGGCAAGGTACTTCTCGCCTGTCTTTAAAATGGAAAAAAGTGACACAGGAAAAACGTATGCAAATGTTGAAGGACTCGGGTATCGGTTTGCAGATGTCACAGCTTGGACTTGCTGCCTCTGCCGCGGTATAAATGCACTCTTAATTTCTGCAACTCATCATGAACGGATCACACCGTCTCTCTTTTTGGTTTAGCTAATTGCAGTTTCAGTAGCTCTCATGATTCGTTTTAGCTTACTTTATTGCCAGGAGGTCAGAGGAAGAAACTGGCGTGCGGCAGAGTAACAGAGACACCTTTATGTCATAGACTAGCATTTTCAATGATGTTTGCCGTGCTGCTAATGGACGCTGTAATTTGTGTGAGTAGGGAGCAGCCAGGCGTGCTAATTTTAAGAAGCAGAATCCTGATGTCGAATCAGTAGGGGCTAATGAAGAGTCTGACAAGGAGCCCTCTCCAAGGATGCGTTTTCGTCTAGAAGTAAGTCCTTTTCACATCTCGCTTCAAGTCAGAATATTATAAAGAAGCATATTTCGAAGTGCTCATCGTACTACTTTACCCCAGTGTCTGCTTGTGTCGGCAACTAGTTGCTATCTGTATTTCTTTGTTTCAGCCCTCAAGCATTCAACTACAGATTCCAACTTGAGGGGTCCGTTTGCAAACCTCTGATTTCTGTTTTTGATATCGGTACCCAGGGTGCGGAGCAAGAACTTGGTGCGATCGAGCCAGATCACGATTTTGGAGCATTGCAACAAGGCTATGTACGTTCTAACTAATTCCTTCTATTCAGTTCTAAGTTCAAGAGCTGTCGTGATTAGGTTCATTGGCTTCTTATTGCCCTCCTTTGATCTCTAGTATACCAGTATGTCTCGGTTGTAGGAGTATCCGCTTACATTACATATTTTCCTTCGGCATGCCCAGGCCTCTGAGAGTAAATCTTTAATTTTTCATTAGTTTTTACAGGACTTGGAACTTGATTCTTTTTTGGTTTTTTGATTGGATTCTGAATATCCGTTCATTATCAGTGAAAGTTTTTCGTACCTTGATCTCGTGTTGAATGTAGGTTTCTATAACAGCTCTTGGTCTGGATACCCATGTGGAGGCCACCACGCGTGCACAAGTCGAGAAGTGGGTAGCTGGTGTAGCTCCCTCAGCTCTCTAAGTTCCACTCTAATGTGAAGCAACTGAGGTGTTAGAGGGGGTTCCTCACCGATAGGCTCTACTATACTTGGACCAATATCTAGCAAGGAACCTATGCAAATCTATCTGCTGGGATCAACTTTGCACTGCATGGTTAACTGTGGTGCTTTTGCTTCATCCCTTTACAGGCATAGTCCCTCGACTGGCTGTGAAGCGTTGAGAAGGGTTCTCGATCGTCACATGAGAAAGTTGTAGAAAGTTCTGGATTGCTAGAGGCTCATCATCTGCATGTGGGGATGTGGTCGATCTTGTGAGCTTGTTGTGATGGCTGGGTTGTGCTATTGCATCACAAGCCACCGTTGATCAAATTTTTAAAGCTCAAATTTATTGTAACTAATGCAAAAGCTCAAAGTACCTTCCCTGTGTGCTCATCGACACTTGTGCATCCCACTCATCTTTTGGTTAGTGTTTTTTTAATTATAACGCCTTTGCAGCCTTTTGCAGGCTGTGCCGCAAGAGTGTACTCCTAGGCGACATTTTATTTTTAATTGTTTAATTTTTTGAGCTACTTGTTAGATGACTAATTCTTTAGGTTAGTTCCAGATGAATAATTTTTATCATTTCGAAGGATCTTGAATCACTTGAGAGTATAATTTCTGCCAACTTTGAAATATGAAATTTGGGATTGTTGTTGTGGTCATCTAATTGTTTTTTCAAGCATTTGTTGTAATAAGGTTTTACTTATTTGTCATGGCTCTTATCAAAGAAGGTTTTTAAAGTAGGTGGTAATTCTATAAGAAGAATTGCTACACTTTCTCCCACCTCAGAAGTAAAATGTTTTTGTTGATCTTCATGTCCTTTCGTAATTTCAACAGTTAAAAATAAAGAAAAAGAAGAGGAGTATATACATAGTTTACAAAGACATGTACATATAGATAAAGAGCCACCTTTCACTCCTAATATGAGATGGCTTTTTTTATTTTTATTTTGCCAATTTTTCTAAAAAGGTCAAAAGAATGCTACATATTTGGTAAAAAATTTGTTTATTAAAAAGCCATAAACTAAAACAGTTGACAAGAAAAGATGTATGAAAATGGACAAGAAAACAGCATATCATTTTAGTAGAAAATACAAACTATTTCAAGACTCATGTTGCTACAATCACAACCCCAAATTTGCCGATATATAATTGACAAATCATTTTTTGAACATCATTTCATCTATTCCCACAGTTATTCCCTCAGTTACTGTATATACCGAAAGTGGTTGTCTCTTGACTGAGAAAATTTTAAAGTTGAGTGGTGGCCACAGGAAATGCATCCAATTGTCTTTTTTGACTTAACGAATTTAACACATAGATCTGAGATTCTGCCATCAAACAACAGATTTTTGTCCGAAGCCTAAAGAACAACTCGAAGTGCAAGCGAGTGCTGCAGATCACGCATTCGGTGCCATTGTTGGTTTTTTTTCTCATCTTCACTCTGGGCTTGTCAGATTTGCCACCATTGTAAGCAAAGTTTCGTGGAGCTCGCAGGACATCATCCGGGAGGGCGTGTGTGTGAGCGGATTGTTACAATGTCGGGCGTTGTAAAGCATATCTTGTTGCTGAAGTTCAAGGACTCTATCAGCCCTGACGAACAAACCGCCCTTATTCAAAAATATGCGGCGCTTCCCAATTCCATCTCCGCCATGAAGGGCTTCGAATGGTGTGTAGTAGTGCTCACCTTCTCTGCTCCTCTAGATCTATCCTTGCTTTTAAGTCTCCACCTCTAAGGGTCGTAGAGCTGGTTCTCGTTTGCATCAGTGCATCGCCACTTAATGTTGTATCAATCATTCTCTTAGGAAATTGTCTTGTTTCCGTGTTCGGTTTACAGATGAAATCTCTTTCAGTTGGTTTGGGTTTGTCCCGCACCGAGTATTTAGTGAGTAAAGGTGCTATGTAGGACTCGAGTCTCAGAAACAAGATGAATATCTACCACATTCTCTAGACTAGTTGAAAAATTACATTGAAATTTAACAAGTAGGGCGTTGCTTGTATGCATTAGTTGCTCCGGCGAACCTTCCACAAGTAGGGCTGAGAGTGTATGGACCCGACAGTTCTAGGGGAAAAACCCACGAAGGCTGACAGGCTGCCGCATTTTGTAGTAACATGGTTAACATGTCAAAGTGTTGTGGGGTCTTTATTCTTAGGGTTTCCAGTGGTTGCATCCCTCCAGAAGTTTTTGCCATAACCCACTTGCTCTAAACACGCATCAACGCATGCACATGACTGCAGGGGCACGGACATCAGCGTGGAGAACATGCACCAAGGCTTCACCCACGCTTTCATTTCAACTTTCGATTCTCCACAAGGACGCGACGAATACCTGGTTCACCCTGTGCATGACTCCTTTGCCAAGGAGCTGCTCGGAGCCGTGGACAATGCCCTCGTCTTCGACTTCAACCCGACAGTTGCTCTCAAGGCAAATTCTTAGAAGCTTTGCTGCTTGGGCTTGTGGAGGATGCTTGCGACACCAGGTCTGCCTATATCATGCTTGCTGGCAAGCCCAAAACCATCATCTAATTGTAATAATCTGGTGACCTCGAAGCTCTTCGGTAGCTTTGTATGTAGCTGTTTTTGTTGCAAACTCACCTAAATTTGTCTTGCATTTCATCTCATCATTGTGGAGTGACATATACTATTATATAAACCTTGATTTACACAAATGTTGATTGATTGATGGATTGATTTTCTTATCTTTTTATTTATTTCTTTTATTTTCTTCTATCACTGTCTGTGTATCTCTCTGTTTTCTTCTTGCTCACAGGGTTGATTCTTTCATTGGCTGTTGATAATGAATTAAATTGTTTGGAATTGATACTTTAGTTACACAAATCCTTAAAATGCATTTGTTGAGTCACTGATATGTATTAATGTTAATGTCAGCTTTTGCCAACAATCGTATAGCTTGGACTTCAAGATGATTATGTCAAATTTGTTTTGGGAGTTATAACTATGGTTAAAATTGATGTTTGGTTATATGGAACAATATAGGTTGGAATTGACTTGTTTATTTGTTTTTGTAATATTATAAGTTAGGATTAGATCTAGGTTGGTGTGTGGATTTTCAAAGCCAATAGTAATATTCAACTCTACAATATAACATCCATGCATCTGGTTTTTATTAATGTTTTTACAAATGTTTCTAAATATGTTTAAAAACCATGTAAATATGTATTTTTAATATATGTGAATAAAAAATATCTATTACTTCCAATTACCTATTAAAATAATATATATATATATATAAACCTGTATATATATATATATACATGTATATATATATATATAGAGAGAGAGAGAGAAAGAGAGTTGTTGTCATGACAACTCTTTGGATTTTTATAACTAATTTAATCTATTCCTTGTCCTTGTCTCCTTTTTTCTCCAATCTTTGTTTACAATTCTTTGTGCAATATCTTTAGTATTTGTTCTTTTTTATAATCTTGTCTCTTATTCCTAATTTCTTTTCTCAGCTTTTGTTCCTCATCTTGCTTCTCTTGTTCTCTTTTTGTAATCCATGTTTCCAACCTCCTTCCATTCCAAACCCTCTTGTCTTCAATATCTATTCCTTGTCTTTTATTCCCAATTCCCATCTTCTATCCTAAAGCTCTTTGTTTCTTATTCCAAATTTCTTTATCTTTGTTCTCAATGCTCATTTCTTATTTTTGTTCCCATTTTATAAAAAATGATATACAACATTTAAAAAAATTCATGATATTGATTTGAAAAATCAACCTTAAACCTCAAAACTTTTAACCATGGATTTTATACATGTCTTTCAAAAGACTTGGATATTTTAAATTTCAGTTAAAAAGTTATAGATTCTATAAGTACATTAAATAAAATTAAGTAATGCAATAGTATTTAAATTAAAATGAGATGTATTATCTTTTAATTTCAATTAAAAAATTGCAATTCAATATCAGCAACGTTTCAGTTACAAAACAATTTTATAAAAAAACATCTATTTTTAAGGTTACTATTGCCATTCATAACAATAAAAAATAGAAACAAGAAGCACACAATGTAAACATAGATAAGGGGGATTTAGAATGGAAGGTAAGAGCTGTGAATAGAAGACTAGGAACATGGAATGAGGATGGGGGGATGAGAATTGAGGTTTAAAACAAAGAATAGACTAAATTAATCATGAAAATTCAAGAAGGTATTGCATTAACAACATCGAGATGTTGAATTAATAACATGGAGGTATTGTGTTAATAACTATCTATATATAAATAGGATATAAAAATATTAGATATAAGAAATTATTTTATTAATTCTTTTACATGTAATATTTATTGATTATAATGAAGTTATTTTGTTGCATATTTATATATTTTTTTTTATAAAATTTTAAAATTTATGACATATTATTAATTTCTATTATTAATCTATTTGTATTAATTATTATAAAATATATTTAAATATAATATCATTAAATAATATATATAAATTTATAATATATTCTATTAATATATAAGATTAAAATATATTACTTTAATTAAATTTTATTGTAACATTTATTGTTATTTTTAAAGTTTTAGTGAATTTATTATAATATTATTTTTTTCGATTAAAATTTAAGATATTTTAATATAATATCTCTTTCCATTCAAAATTTCTATTAAATAATAGAAAAGTTATCATTGATGATGTTATAATATTAGCTATATTACTTTATGATATTTTAATCATTCTTATTTTATATTATAGAAATAAAAGAAAAATATATTTTTAACAATACTATTTATAAGATTTGATATTATTTTTAATCATACATATAAAAAAATATAATTTTTATTTATTTTAATTTTATATTTAAAAAATATTTATATTTTTATATTCATTATCTTGTCCAATTGTCCAACTTGTTCTAATTGGAGTTGCATCAACTATTAATATTATGGGTCATTCACATTCATTGTTCACTTTTTTAAAGTTGGAGATGAAGAAAAAAATTATTTCAATTTTTTTATAGCTTGTATTTGTTCTTCTTTCCATTAATTGATTTTTTTTTCCACTAACTTATAAAATGGATTTGTCACATGTGCAAAGCAAAGTATTCAAATATAATAGAAACTACATCCTCCAAAAATCCTTCTAAATTCTATTGTGTTTGTACATTCTTTCATCATTTTAATAATATCAAATATTTCCTATCATCACTTTGATGTTTGAATAAGTTCCATACAAATCTTTCTTTGCATTATTTGCTAATCTTATCATCTATCTATGTTTAGTATCAATACAAATTTTTTCCTTTTTATACAACTCTTTTGATATCAAATTGATTTTAAAACCATGATCAATCAATGCTACAATTTTTTCTTTTAATTCTTCTAATTTTAGCCCTTGAATAATGATTTCAAAATCATGACTAGAGGCATATATATATATATATATATTTTTTTTTTTCTTTTTTTTTTCTTTCTATAAATCAAACTCGTGAAATATCTCCAAAAAATTTCATTTCAACTTCTTCATTTGTATTGCTTTCCATTACCTTTGTTGTTTGTATATTTGATGTCAAAGTATCTTCTATAGATTTTTTTTTTTTCTTTATTGTATCAATAATAATTTCATAAATTTCATGCTTTGTAATCCTTAGAATTTCATCAATTCTAAATTCAATCTTTTCACTTAAAATCCATTCTTCTATCTTCTTCAAATTTGTAGCAACCTCAATATCCAATTGTAATTTAAAAGATGATATCTTTTTTTTTCTTTCACACTTTTCTTTTCTTTTGTAGAAACGTTTTCTATAGTTTTTTCTTGTATAGAATTTCTTTGTTGTCATGCTTTCTTTCTCCTTAAACTTATATTTGATAGTCTTCATCATTATTATTTTTTCTTTGTTTTTCTTCTATTAATATCTTATTTTGACTCCTTGGAATATACACATAAATAAACAAACTATCTATTAGATTACTCCATCTAATAATTTATCAAATATTATTGTCAAAACATTCTAAATTATTTTTCATATATATTTTTAGTATAATTAATTGCACTTAACCACAAGAAATTAAATTCTCATGGAAATTCAAGTTTTATGCCTAGATATTTGTTTAGATTTACTCCCACCTAATATATTGATGCTTCATTGCTTAAAATTGTATATAATTTAAATATGTGAGTTACAAACACCTTTATTTTTTCTTTATGAAATTTTGTCTCTAATTTTTTTTCACTTTCTTTTGGATATAATTGTAATGGACATATATATTTATTCTAATAATTATCTATATGAATAGATAGAAGTAGATGAAAATAAACAAAATTGATAATATCTTATGAAGAAGCTTCTTACAAGCTTTATAAACATGGCTTTGACTTTATACGTATTTGTAGTTGATTAGTAGATTAGAAACTTGGCCAATAAGTTAGCCACATGTTGCACGTGTTGATAGCTTGTAGAACAAGCTAACTATGTGGCTTACATATAGAAAATTTGCCTTGCAATTTAAGATACAAGTTTGACATCTATCAAAGGTCTTATAGAATGTCACCACTTAATTCATATATACAAAGGCAAGATTGAAGCCTTCTTTACTCTTTTCAATGCCTTTGAGTACTTAGTCTTGTTTTAAGACTTCTTAATTTTCTTGTCTTTAGTAATAATAATTCTAAGTTAATATTATATCATCTTTGACTGATTATTTTTTTTTTTTTTTATGGCACAAGAATATATTGATCTTTTAATTCTTTGAGATTCATGTCTATAATAATAACATATTAAATTTAAATATATTTAATTCTTTGCATAATATCCCAATAAAATCTTTACACCCTTTTTTTGAATAATCTATGCAATCACACCACATGTACCTATATACTACACCTTCCATTGGTCTTAGTTTTTATCTTGCTGAAATTCTTTATTAATGAGCATTCTCTTCAAGTTTTTCAAATTTTATTTGTAAATCTTTCACTCTGCATATAATTTGATTAATGTCAATTTTTTCTTTCTTTGATGTAGCCATTGAAGATTAAATCATAAATTTAAAATAGATGATAGTAATTATTATCTTAAATTCTTGTAATAGTCTTTTAATATCCCATGTCCTTTCTCATTTTTCTTTTTGCAAGCAACCATACTACATCTTCCACTTCTTTCTAATTTGATATATATATATATATATATATATATATATTTTTTTTAATCTTTATGTAAAATTTCTAACTTCTCTTACAACTCTCTATTAGTTGCTTAAAGAAAATGATCCATTTTATTTAGATTTAATTATTTCATTTTTTTTCTTTGATAAACAAGAATATTGTCTTTCAAACTTCTTTAAAATATTTTTTTGTTAGAAGATTTTTTATAGAATTTTTAATCCATTAAATAATAACTTTTTTCTGTAATTCCATTACTATTTTTTTTTAGAATATTCATCTTTAAATTCTTAAAAATATTTTTCCTATCAACCTCTAAAATATCTTATAATGAATTTTTTGTGATTTCTAATTTTTAGAATAATAGATAATATACTTCAATTCTATTTTTTTAACCTAATATCTTAAATACTTTATAATATTCTTTTCTTCAAATTCATCAATCTTGTCGATAATTCCTTGTAAAGATTTATTTGCCATACCTTCTTTATAACCTTTAATCTATTGATGTTGTATAAATAAAGCAAAGCCTTCAATCATGCTTACA